GTATTTGTTACAATAAACGTGGAGAAGACTTCGCTAAAATAGTTTGAAAAAGTCTCAGCTTTCGCTCGATCTGATTCAGCTAGTAATTCTGAATTTTCGTGTAACAGTAACGGGGGAATACCATCACTACGTTTCGTCCGCCGTTTAACATACGAAAACAATCGTTTCGGACAAGTACGGCTATCATATACTAACTGTCGTTCGTAAGTGGTACGGGATTAGGCTATGGTTCTCTTACAGATATTACGGAATTTTCGGTACTCACGCTTAAATGGTGCATGACCTGTCAACAAGAATAAGTCCCAGAAATGTTTCCTACGCTTTAACAGCTTCCGGGTTTCCTTATTAATCCATGGAGAGCCATGTGATAGCTTACGTGCTGACCATGGGATAAACGGCGACGTTACGGACTCGAATGTAGCCTTAAACTTATTCCATTCATCTTCGATCAATCCATCCGCGTCGACCGACCAATCAGTCGAGATATCACAGTTCCTGATCGCCGGAATATTAGCTCGCCAAATATTGGGACGGGATGGAGCAGATACGAATTGTATACCATGTGTCCTAAACTTAAAGTGAATTACAACGTGATCACTGTTCACAATTTTGAAAAGCAGTGTAAAGCCACATAGTATTCCAGAATTAAATGACACTTAGAGTCCTTGTGAGACAAAAGTTTCGAATCAACCGACTTCTTATAGGATTTCTCATGTTATTGTATCAGATATAGTTTCTCCTAACGATTCACATATTTCTGATGGAATGTTCTATTAATCAGAGAAAAATATGTTTAATAAATCAAATCGTGATAAAAAACTTGATGTGGTTTTGATAAGGCGTTCCAATGATTGACTACTCGATGAGAAAAACGGAACCCCACTTTAAGTTTATTAGATCTTGGTTTATGAACCTTCTTGCTATGACCGCGGAGATTATTAGTGCTGGAGGGAGCAAAAAGATAAGACATTATAACACCCAAATCATAATTAAAGATACGAAATGCCAGTATAAGGTCACCTCGTGTCCTACGATACGACTAGGGGAAAAGATTTAGGCGTTTTAAACGCTCATCATAAGGGAGTCTAGAAAGACACTTCACTAATTTCGTTCCCACACGCTGGACACGCTCAAGGGAGTTAGTATCCTTTACCAGACATGGGCTAGCTGCTTGGATACAGTACTCTAAGTGTGGTCTTACATAGGTGGGATATAAAATTCTAAACGTTTCCTCGTCAAAAGATTTGAACGCTCGGCGAAGTGACCATAACGCTCGAAAACCTTTGACAGCGGCTGCTTTGCAATGCGTAGTTGTTTTTAAATCATGACTTAATACTACTTCTAAGTCTTTATGCTCTTGAACGCATGGAAGAGGTTTACCCTCAATAGTTTAACGGTAACTATTACCGTGACCGATGTGCATTAGTACACTCTTCCTAGTGTTGATTTCTAAGCCCCACTCTCGAGCCCACCTAACTAAATCGTCTAAGTCAGCTTGAAGATCCAGATGATCAGCCGCACTTTTTATTGTTCTCCAGATTTTTACATCATCTGCAAACAATAATGTTGACGACCTAAGCAACAGCGGTAACTCATTAACGTAGAGAAGGAAGAGCAGGGGGCCTAAGATGATGCATGGGGTATACCACTTTTGACCGGCTTCCATTCTGATAGCGTTCCATCGACCATCACTCTCTGTCTGATATTACGTAAGAAGTTTCCTATACATTCCTGTACAGTACCTATTATTCCGAAGCTCGAGATATCTGAATAAGACCTAAGTTGGAACCTTGTCGAATGCTCTGCTAAAATCTATGAATATCACATCGACAGACAGACCGTTATCTAGGGCTGCTGTCCAATCCTCCCTCGCAATAAGCAAGTTAGTCAAGCATGAACGCTTGTTACGAAATCCGTGTTGCTCAGGAGCTAACATTGTGTAAATCTATGTGGCTTAGCAACCTAACCCGAATTATCTTTTCAAGTAACTAAACGACTATACTAGTTAGACTAACAGGCCTGTAGTTAGATACTATCTGTCTCTGATCGTCTTTAAATATGGGACTGACCATAGCGTCCTTCCAATCGCTAGGGAGTTGAGCGAGTGAGAGGGACATGTTGAAGAGTTTCGCGAGCGGTTTGGAAATAATGTTCGCAAGAGATGACAGCAACCGTGGATGTAACCCGTCAAGGCCCGGTGTCTTACCAGGTTTGAGGTTAGTTATCAACGGAAGGACAGTTTCCTCAGTCACCTGTACAGATTCCATGGTTGGTATCTCAGTGTGAGTGGGACAAGTATTTGTTACAATAAACGTGGAGAAGACTTCGCTAAAATAGTTTGAAAAAGTCTCAGCTTTCGCTCGATCTGATTCAGCTAGTAATTCTGAATTTTCGTGTAACAGTAACGGGGGAATACCATCACTACGTTTCGTCCGCCGTTTAACATACGAAAACAATCGTTTCGGACAAGTACGGCTATCATATACTAACTGTCGTTCGTAAGTGGTACGGGATTAGGCTATGGTTCTCTTACAGATATTACGGAATTTTCGGTACTCACGCTTAAATGGTGCATGACCTGTCAACAAGAATAAGTCCCAGAAATGTTTCCTACGCTTTAACAGCTTCCGGGTTTCCTTATTAATCCATGGAGAGCCATGTGATAGCTTACGTGCTGACCATGGGATAAACGGCGACGTTACGGACTCGAATGTAGCCTTAAACTTATTCCATTCATCTTCGATCAATCCATCCGCGTCGACCGACCAATCAGTCGAGATATCACAGTTCCTGATCGCCGGAATATTAGCTCGCCAAATATTGGGACGGGATGGAGCAGATACGAATTGTATACCATGTGTCCTAAACTTAAAGTGAATTACAACGTGATCACTGTTCACAATTTTGAAAAGCAGTGTAAAGCCACATAGTATTCCAGAATTAAATGACACTTAGAGTCCTTGTGAGACAAAAGTTTCGAATCAACCGACTTCTTATAGGATTTCTCATGTTATTGTATCAGATATAGTTTCTCCTAACGATTCACATATTTCTGATGGAATGTTCTATTAATCAGAGAAAAATATGTTTAATAAATCAAATCGTGATAAAAAACTTGATGTGGTTTTGATAGATGCTGATTTTCCCAGTGATCCATTATTTTCTATTGGACTTATTGATAATTTCGGGGAAAATATTTCAGAAGAACCAAATCCTGATATTACATCAAATGTTATTCGGCCTGACAACAGATTTGTCTCTAGTGATATCCCTAATGAATATGAAATAAACGTTCTTAATGAGTCGAATTCTAGTCACGTTTCCGAAGCTATTGTATCAGATGTTGGATATTCTCAAAACCAATGTATGTTGGGTAGAATCCCTTTTCAGTGTTATGATGAGTCACGAAGCAATTAGAGGATCCGATTGCCCAAAGCAGAAAATCCAAATCGAGTTTAAGATTATCCTAACAAGTATGAGGCAGGTATATATACAGCATAAAATTGTCCTTGAGAAACGTTACAATATAGCATATTAAAGAGACAACATTTTGTTTTAGGAGAGTCTATGTTCATGGAGATTATTGAGGTAATGTGCCAGAGTATGGTAGATGTCCGTGATGTCATTTTCTGTCTTTTGAGATTTTTTGATTGAACAGACCCCGACGGCAGTCCAGTTGATCTTCAGAATTCCGTCGTCGGGTGCGTCCAGTTCGTCTACGTGTCGTTTTGAAGTGAGACAAGCCATGCTAGCACCTGTTGGGGAAGCTTAGACATGAAAAGCTGTTTAATCTGGCCCTTATCAAAGGTCTGTTGACCAATGAATTCTCTCATTCGTAGCAATATTTTTGCTACTGAGCCATGTTGTAGTTCGATGTTGTTGAGGGCTTAATCTTACTTTTGGCGGTCAGTTAGGACTCCAAGGTTGTAGATAGTCTTATTCAAATTGTTGTAGGGTTCCGACAAATCAATAGATAAAATATAGATTTATGGTCTACTTCGTTATTAGTACTGCTTTCATAATAGAACTAATCCCTAAATTGTAGATTTGTCATGATGTGACTTTCTAATCTGATCCAATGCCACTACAAAAATACTAGGCATGACGTACTGTTATAATTGCGCGGTTTAGCTTTCACTACTATGAGGTATTGTACACGAGAGTTAGATACACGTGCTCGCAGAAGTCAACTTCTGTATGGCAGAACCAGGCTTTTATAGCACCGGGTTAGAATGGCATGAACTGGAAGTTGGGGGACAAAACAGTTTCAAACTTAAATAGCTTAGGTATCAGTTCCGTCATGATGCAGATAAGATATACCAATGGACGAGGGAAAAATATCCGAAAACATGTAAAGATCATCGCAACTTGTGAGAATAATAATTTGAAGAACGATATGTGATGTTCCATAAAAAAGGACTCCCACTTTACTGTTTGGTGTATCAGATCATGTCTCTCACCACCGAAGATGCCCCAGATATTCTCAGTTTGATAACGCATTTACACGTAAAATTTTTATAATCGATATATGCAAACACAATTGATTCAGAAGCCAGGAATAAAGGGATTCGGCAATATATTTGGAAAAATATCGATATAACTGGAGCCGTTAGGTGCTTGGTAGTCTCAAGGTATGTGAAGCACTGAGAATGTGCTAGAGATCTGATGAAGATGTGTGACCGGACGCCTTCAACTAGGTGTGTCCGGTAAAACTAATGAGGTCAGTATAAATGTTGAGGACTTACAGACTTATTTATTTTAAAGACTTATCTACAGCTACACTACTTATTTTTCAGATTTGTCTACCTCTACATTCTAATGAAATCACAGAAACCTATTCGAGGCGTCCCTTTAAAAAATATTGTGTATCCAGAACAAGTGAGATGTATGTACCATTCGAAAATCTCCTACAAATACATATTTATCTTGCTACGTTTATTCGTCAAAATATCCAAGTCTCCATACGCTAACCGCTTCTTTTGAGTAATGCGTTGCAGGGGATGAGATTGTCACTATTTATTCAGTTGGCTCTATTAATCCGTTATGCTTTTTGTGATTATTATGACGTCCTTGGAGTATCTAAATCTGCCTCAAATTTGGAAATTAAGACAGCATATAGGAAACTAGCGAAGAAATGGTAAGTTTCTGAAGTCCGTGGGCTTTGTTTACTATTGTAAACTTTCAGGCATCCGGATAAGAATCCTTCAGATAAAGCAAACAAAAAGTTCATTGAAATAAATGAAGCCTATGAGGTAGCATTCCATTAATATGAAAATTTTTTATACCCTATTTAGGTACTATCCAACTCTAAGAAACGGCATGAGTATGATACCTTCGGAAAAGTCCATTCAGATGGGAGTGCACCTCCCCCTGGACATTATCCATACCGTCACGAATTTGTTCATTCTTCGTTTGAAGATCTTTTCGATTTTTTTCCAGGGTTCAACCGTGCCCCACAATTCTCAACCAATGTCCTTGTAAGTCCTATTATAATCTGCAGTAAATATATTGCAAGAAATACTGTTAACTGTCTGAGAACATATGAGTTCGGAAATCAGCCTAGTCTGCTCAGTATTCATATAGGCTTGTGAGTTTATACATGATTGTAGTTACGCATCAAAATGATGAAAATAATATTCAAATATTATGTATAACTCATGGTCATAGTTTTCCATCACGTTTGAAAATTTTCCGTTTTCTTCACTAGAACCAACACATTCGTATCAGGCTTTACGTTGATTAGGAAGTGACGGACTTTGACATCAGATAACGACTCGCTTGTTAATTTTTTTTTATATCTTTTGTTTCTATTTAGAACTTCGAAGGTAAATTTGATTTTCACGTAAATATGATATCAAGGTTGTTACTAAATTTCGATAATATAATAAGAAGCGAAGATTATCAAAACTGTGTGACATATTGTGCAGCAAAGACATTATCAAGGAAACAAGGTTCATGCTCTGTCGAAAACCTAAAAGACGAGAAAACGATTGCGTCACATCCCACTGCGTTTACCAATTTAAATATGTATGTGATCACACATAAATAGGAAGGAGTAATTGTGATCTGAAAATTAAAGTGTGTGAACATGTACCTAAATGGTTGCAGAAGCAACTAAAATCAAGTGATCCGATAAGAGTAGAGCATAAACATTCATCAACCTCTATTGCCAAATACATAATTGAAACAGGTCATAAGATTGATCTTAACTCAGCTTTTGTGGTGTTGTACAAAAGTGTAAAATTGCGTATACTGGTAATATTGACTTATTATCCAGATTGGTGAGGTTTTAAATTGTTTTCTCATTATGTCTTTTTTATCCTTGTCTCCTCTTACCCTCCATTTCTAGTCTCGTTGACCTTTTATTTCTATATATAAATTTTCTTAATAAGTATATGTGTTATCAAATTGTTCGAAATGTGTTGCGCCAATGTATCACATAGTTCTGATAATATTCGTCTTCTTGTTACTACTAAAGCCGCTTAATCGTCTATGCCTCAAGACCTGAAGCTTCTGATTGGCTCGTCCACAATTTGTAGTCTCGCCGAAGCGCTTTCACCAACAATGACACAGTTAACACATTGTAGGTGTCATTTTGATAACATGCTCAAAGTATATTGAATATAGTGTTGTTTTCTCTCAGATGGAAGGTGAGGTTAAGAAGTTGTCTCTAAAATAGCATATTCTTTTTCACTACTATGTCTTCTGGTCTGGTAATGTCTAAACAATGTGAAGCAAAAGGGAAAAGTCATCACTAATAGAAAGGTTGATTGCGATTACCTACAGACAATTGTCATTTGCACCCTACTGTCATACTCACAAGTCGACTAGACCTTCACTACTTATCCGGTTTATTTTCCAGGTTTCACATGCTTTAACCGGTAATTTGGTCGTCCACGTTTAACGTTGGCACTCTCTATTTTCTCAAATTCATCTACTCATTTTATTTCAATAAACAAGGCTTCCAAATACCCTGGTACGGACGAGTGTGGGGAAAGTCATCGCTCCTCCAAATGCTCTCACATGGCCACACGTATACAGCCGCTCTCAGAGAAGTCCTACTGACTGCCTTCTCACTGTTGGCCTGTTGTTCACGAATTTGAAAGGGTGAAATGCGAATGTCCGACGCTTTAACCGGGCTGGTGGATACGGAAAATTCATTTAGGGGAGATGGAAAACCCTGATTCCAAACCAATGGTGCATATCTCCAGAATCATGAGGGGACAAGTAGCATGTGAACTTATTGTTGGTCACCGGCTACCATGAGACTACACCTCCTGACGTTGCTCTATTGCCCTGCGGATCAGACCTCTAGGTCGAAGGCTCGGGGTGTGACCTCCTAAGAAAACCACTTGCTTCGATCTGGGCACCCGGGCAGTATAACAGCCTACACACAAATGAAATGACTTGTGTGGCGCATATGTATTCGGTGCCCCTTTGTATCAATGTTTATGTGTTTAAATAATAATAATAATAATAATAATAATAATAATAATAATAATAATAATAATAATAATAAATCCAATAAGCGTGTCATTTCGGACAATATTCGAGGTTGTTCGTCACCTAATAAAGTTAACAAACATATGAGTTTAATTTGTTCTGTCGATCTTGTTCCTATTGGTATTTAGAGCCTTCAATAAACCGCATATTAATTTATGTGTATGAGCAATTAGTTATTCTTAGTCAGCATGATTTAAACCGGTTAGTACGATGTTAAACAAATGTGTCACTTGTTAGACAGTAGGGAGGAGGAAAATCATATTTTCAAAAGTTTCAGTGACTTAAAGTTTATGTAAATTCAACGTTTCGCTTGGCCGTCTGATACAATCTTTGTCAAGTAAATATAATCCATCATCAAAATTATTGATAATCTTACATTAACTCGGCACCCAACTACTCCGAAATTATTCATTTAAATTTAAAAGTTATAATAAATTATTCTGTCACTATTTAGTTTCATATTTTTATTTGCTATTGTTTAAAGAATATCGACTTTCGAAACTATCGCCTAACCCACCTCCCACGATCTCGAACGGTGCCTTTGCTCATATTTGGTTATTCTGATTTTTGTTTCCCTTGTCGTCAAGTTCGTCCCATTTGGTCACAATTAGCAGATGAGCTTACTCCGTTGGGGATTACTGTGGCTAGTGTCAATTTAGAACATGATTCTGCACTGCGTGAAGAGCTACGCGTATTACATGTTCCGAGTGTGACAGTAGTTGTTGATGGACAGGTTAGCTCATAGATGTTTTTCGGTTCTTTTCTGAAAGGGTTTATTGTAGATTCAGTTGTCTTTTCTGATCAGGAAAAGTTATCACTTGTATTTCACAGTAAATGGAAAATAAAACTTTACATAGAATAAATAGTATCGTTGGTAAAAGTTCTTTTTGTGTAATTTTTTATGCAGACAACATATGTAATTATAATCATTATGCGGCAGTCGCTTATTGTTTAAAATACTTGACCTTCAGTCAATAGGTCTTAGTCTCCGTCCATACCCTTTGAATTCGATCAGAAAAACCAGGTGATATCGCTTAGCCGCACAAATGTAACTAAAAGTCAATCACAATGTTGACTGAAAGCTGAATACATAAACCTATACCTGTTAAATATGTTGAATTTTGTTTTTCATTTATGTGATATCAGCTGATGTACACAGTCTTTTTTCCCTTTAAGTTTTTCGCTGTAGTTTTTCTGATATTACTGTTATGCTGCTCAGAGGAATTTACATTGTGAATACTGGTCACGCAATTGTTCTCTTTTAGTTTAGTGAACTATGGGGCGTGCTTCTTTGATGGAAAACTGTGTTGTGGTTTCATGAAATTTAAATTATTCATTGTCGATCATTAATCGCTTACGAACAAGGATATTAATGACGAAGGATACTGTCCACTTGAAAAAATAACTAAAATGGGATTCCAGTTACTAATGTTTATCCTACCGTTATAAACGGTGTAGTAGAAAGATATAACAGGGTCGTTATTGCGTCTTATGCTGGTTCATATCTGATGAAATCTCAAGCCGCTGAGTTACATAGTCTTTAGTGTCTCAACAAAATAGTCACTCTACGATGCTATGTCACTAACTGATCGCCTTTCGGATTTATCCACCCAACAGCAGCATTGGATCTTGCTGTAATGACATGTTTAAACCGCCGATGTTGTTTCACGATCGTGACACTGATGGAATTACCATCACCATACCTTAAATCACCCATACGTCCTTGTCAGCATATATGAATGATCTTTCAGAGGCAGTACTGATAAAATATTGAGTCACTGAAAATTCTTTGCTCTGAGGTATCAAGTTTCACAATCATATATCAGAACGTTCCTCACCGATACACTTTGTATAAGCGATTTATTCAGCCAAAGTAACTGAAGTTTAATTTTAACCTCAGAACTGATGGCAGTTGAGTTATATAATGTTTTAGACAAATAAACTACGGCTTCACAATGTTTACATAATAAACTTCCTCTAACCAAGCAACATTCTTATAAATTCATTTTTGTAATGCTGATACAAAGAAAACAAATTATTTCTTCAATCATTTTTAACTGCGATAATCTTGGCTTTTGTTCCTTATTTTTTGGAAATCTTCAGGTTTCTTATTACTCTCGAGGTGATTTCAGTCATAATAGTCTTATTGACGCATTAAGAAGTGCAATTATGAAATCAAATCCTTCACGCTCTAAGGCGTTACCAATATTTCTTAGCACAACAATCGATACACCATTAATACAAAGTATTAGTGATTATGATACATTTATTAATACTTTTCATTATGGTTGGCGTCGTGACAGTCGACCCAGAATGGTACTTATTAAACCATTAACTTTACCACCGTTACGGTATTGTGTGGCTGCTTTCAGAGCAGCAGATCATTTAGCTGCTGGTTATATTAATTCTGAACCTGGTAACAATCATAATCTGGCTAAGAATTTCAATGTAAATCCAAATGAGGTTAGTCCTAGTGTATGTGTGTATTTATGTATCTGTATTTAGGTATTTAAATAAATTTATAATCTGGTTTACACTATAATTTTCATTTTGTCTCACATTTTGTATATTATCTTGAGGTTATCATTTTCTGCATGTATGTAGTGCTTTTGAATGAAATGCTTTGTATATTTGTCATCATCCCCGAATGCCCTGGTTCGGATAAGGGTGGAGAGAGTCAGCTCTCCCTCTCGAAATGCTCTCACATGGTCACGCATATACAGCCACTACCAGGGAAGTCCTACTCACTGCCTTCTCGCGGTGGCCCGTTGTTTACGAAATCGAGAGGATAAAAGGCGTGTTTCCGACGCCTTAACCGGGTTGGTGGATACAGATGATCCATTTAAGGGAGATAGGAAACTCGTATTCCAAACCAATGGTGCACATAGTCTCCAGTATCCTGAGGGAAAAAATGGAGTGTGAACCAATCGTTGGTCACCGTCTACCGTCAGACTGCATTTCCTAACGTTGCTTAACTGCCTTGTGGATTAGATCTTTAAGTCGAAGGCTCCAGGTGTGGCTAGCGAATGAAAATTTTAAATATCATATCATGAATTCGAAGCCTCTCTCATCTGGCTCGATTCCACTCATAGTGTAGTGGACGCCAGTCACAAGATTGTTTATAAGTAGAATGTAGCGGAACATGACATAGAAATTGTCACAGTTGTCAGACGGAGTGAAGAGTCCCAGTGCATCAAAAGCGCAGCGTTAGCATAACACTTTGAGAACAGATGGGAAGACACTTCAGATGATGAAACACACTGAAATATGCAAATTGACGATTAAATGCTATTGATATGTATTATTTAAATATTTTGTAACTTCTCTAATAAGTATGAATACCTCCTGTCTATTGTCGTGTTTTACAATAGGACTGTTTTTTTATACGTTCTGTTTCATAATAATCCACAACTTAAGATTAAAATATAACTTAATCCTGGTTCTTCAAATCTCATGGAATTGCACCGTTTTACCACATAATATTAAAATCTTTTACTTTTAAAAATTTTCTAAACCTGAATAGAGGAATTCTCCAGTTCTATTTAACTTGTTTTAAAACACCTATCTAGCCGTTATTGTTGCATAGTAAATATAATCAATCTAAACTAGAAATTATCTTTTTCACCATAGGAGACCTTACTGATATATCATGAAGATTCAAGCATACCTGTCTATCGTCAATCAGCTACAAAATTATCACCTACTTTATTGGATAATGCAATGTTAACTTATAGTCAATTAAATATCCCTAGAATATATAGTCGTGCACGACTGTTGGATTTATGCCCAACTGATGGAAGTAAACCAACTAGTAAATATGCTTTAGAATCAGATAAACATTATAATGATCATTCTAATCATCGTCATTTATGCTTAGTATTATTGTTAAATTCAAAGTTATCCAATGTTGAACAAGTAAACAGTTGGGGTGATATATGGTTAACTATGTTACGTCATACATTACAATTATCTCAAACAGATTTATCAAAATTATATCATACAAATCAACATAGTTATCATTTTATGCCTGTACATATTTATGTGGATCGTCAGATTAGTTTAATGCAAAAATTAAGTACATCTTCTACATGTTCAAATGAATCGTGTAATTTACTTAATGAAGGTGAGTTAAAAAAGCTACTTAAATTAAATAATCTGTAATGGTTCTACAAATATTTTATTAATGTTTTCATTTGTAGTATAGTGATTTCTTTAGTAAGACTAAAGGATTAGCATAAAATTTCATTTGGGGATTTCGTAGTTAGCGTGTGTATGTAACTCGTATATTTTAACGCTCCCACTATTGCTGTAATGAAAAAAATCACTGCCAAAAATCTCACACTATCCGGAGAAAAGTTGGCTTAGAGGCCCAACTGTAGCTGGTGCCTTGAAGTGGTGATTGGGCTTGATTGTTATAATAATAATCTAATCAAGCTATATTGTCTGGAATACGCATTTCTTAAGGTCCTAATACTGCAGGTAGGTTATTTGGAAAAAAGTCTTAACGGAACAACGTAAAGGTTCATGAGCAATGTCGTACTACTAACCGTGCTGGGGTACAACGGGAGTAGGTTTTTTCTTAAACAACCCGTCTATGAGGCGGTGTTACCTTCTCACGCAAAAGTAGGAATAGGAAAAAGTTGACCCTAAAAGTAAAACAACTTACTTTACCCTACTCAGAATTAAGTACTATCTAATACCTAGTTCCTAAATTTTTACGTGATTTGTAAACTCTACCTCCTCTGGAGATTTTATCATTTATCTACATAGTTCTTGCATAATAAAATGCACTGATGCCATTCGGTTTTCAAAATGTCGATATGTTTAGTGAAATTGCGTTTGTTCTGTGCCTAATTAGTATGGAATAGGGTTTATATGGCGGCTATGAAGTGGTTAAATCATGCTTGTTCAGTGTAGTCGAAGTGATAAATACAAAACTGATTGATATGTGAATCCTGGTAATACGGTGTGACAGACGTATAGCTTTTATTGAGGTCAATTTATCTATACAAACCCGTGAATGCACTCATACCAATATACAAAATAACCGGCTAGGATAGTGAGTTTTTAATAACAATGAAATGACTAAACATTTCCTTTTCTTTTCTCTTATACCTGCATCAGTGACGTTGAATTTTTGTTACTGTTCGATTATCATTATATGGTCATGAACTGATACTTGCACGTTCTCTCTACTTTTTGGGCTGAAAATGTATTGTATGAATTTATCTGTAACGCTGTAAGCAGCTAAATTGCTATATTTCAGAGTGTCAGTGATCTTCATAAGTTCGTTTGATGTCTCAGTTATCAATCAGCTAGTCAGTCAATCATATGCAACTTAAAACCTACCATGCACGTACATCGGTTGAAGGTTTTACACTGTATCAGTACAAAAAGACAAAATTATCAAGAATAACGTCAGATTAGTAGAAGTAATAACAGTAGCAGTAGAAAAGACTAGATCTAGACGATATAATTCGAGATGAATGTGAATGAGTTTATGAAATTAAAATGAATCTAAGATAATCTGGAAACCCAAGATTTAAGGGGTCGAAAATAGTGAATAATTATGTTCCCTTGAGAACTGTTTTGAGCCATATCATCCAAAATCTCTAATCATTGATTACGATAATCACGACTACTTTAGTCAAGTAATCTGAGCCTATTCGCATGAACTGTAGACTCACCTCAAATATCGAGAAACTTTGTTGTGTCCGTTAAACCTCCGTAAATTCTTACCTGTTTATAGTGTTTTCTTCAAGTTTTTGATAAATTTCTTCTTTTTTTATACTTTAGATAATATGGGCCGTTTAGCATTAATCTGGCGTATCAGTTCAACTGAAACAGTTTATCAATTTCTTCCCATTAATTCAATGTCTCATCCAAGAACTCATTTAAATGAAAAAATGCTGAAACCAAATGATTTAAAAAGTTTAATCCTGAAATCTACTAAACAGATGTATACTGCTTTAATGAATGATTTAGAAAATATTATCCAGACAGTATCTATTATTGACAAAGTAACTAATCCAACAAATCATTTCACTCATTCAATTGATAAAGCGGTATCTCAATGGTATCTACTCAAAGATTGTATGATTGAGGAATTAATGATTGATGAATTAGTAGCGTCAATATGGATTAGAATGAGAAATAGGCTGTTACAAATTCTTGTGGATATTGGGCATTCAATGTTTGAGTAAGTTGATTTTTTCTCTTTCTCTTCTCAGTAGGTTAGTCATTCAGATATATTGTTCTCTTCTCTGTTGACGTTAAATTATGCTGAACAAGTAGATAGATTACAGTTACATATTTCTTTTTTTTTGTTTAAAGCATTAAATCACCTTATTTAAAGAACGAAGACATCGTCAGGCGAAAAACCAACTGCATAATTACACTGCAATTGTAAAATATGTAAACAATACATTAAATGCACCATTTGCGCATTTTCGTTGAGTTGTCCCCTATAAACTCCATTGTGTTATTTATTTATTTATTTGAACACATAAATATTAGTACAAAGCGGCACCGAATACATATGCACCACACAAGTCACTTGATTTGTGTGTGGGCTGTGATACTACCCGAGTTCCCAGACCGAGGCAGATGGTTTTCTTAGGGGGCCACACCCGAAGCCCTTGACCTAAAGGTCTAATCCACAAGGTAGTTAAGCAACGTTTGGAGGGGCAGTCTGATGGTAGCCGGTGACCAACGATTGGTTCATACACCATTTGCTCCCCCAGGATACTGAAGGCCATGTGCATCATTGGTTCGGAATCAGGGTTTCCCTATTCCCCTAGATGGATCCTCCGTATCCACCAACCCGGTTAAAGCATCGGAAACACGCCTTTTATCCTCTCGATTTCGTAAACAACAGGCCACCGCGAGAAGGCAGTGGGTAGGACTTCCCTGGTAGTGGCTGTACACGCGTGACCATGTGAAAGCATTTTGAGAGAGGTAACTCTCCTCACTCTCGGCATTACCAGGGCATTTGGGCTTTCCGCATTTTTATCTTCTCCTTATTTTCGTCTTCTGTCAATAAGAATTTTACCTCCAATCCTTGCTACATACTGTTGTGTCCTAAGCCCCGTCAAATTTCACGTGACTAAATCGCCGATCAGAACACTGACTTACACGACCTTGATATTATGTCAAACCAGTTATGCGTTAACCAGTATGAGCAGCCTAATGTCAACTCTCAGTTCTTATTGTACCTCACCTAGCCCTATCCATTTGAGTCCAGAATACAATCTCAGCTTCCACTGTATGAATCATGTAATTCAGGCAAACGCAGTTTGTGTGCAAGCAAATCAGTCCGTATCATATCATGAAGTAGAAAATAACTATACAAGATTAAGCCAAAAGTTTTTGTGAGTGTGAAAGAGTGTACAACCTTTTAGCTAGAGATATGTTTAAGAATACAGGTTATTGACTAGGTCGACTCTAACAACCTGTTCGTCACACAGTATATTTGCTAGGTAAAGTATTATAGAACTATACTTTTGCTTGCGTGCGTGGGTTTCAATGTATTGACGTCTCGTTCTACATATGTACCCACCTCATTAATGAAAACGAAGTCTAGATGAGCATCTAAACGAGTGTGAAATTCTACTACATTTTGGTGACCTAGTAATGAAAGTCACATAAATTGAAACCAACACATACAATTGGAAGTGAGCCACTGAAGGCAGTAACAGCGAATTCAGTGAATTCATCAGCGAAAACAGATATTACAAATGATGTGCCGTCTGGAGTTACGTAGATGTTGGTAACATAAACATATTTGTATTTATTCAGGTGTTTTGGATGGCATCTTCTAGTTAGACAGTCGCTAAAATCATTAGAAAACTTGAAACATACAAAGGTAAATCGACACCAGTTTACGCTTACAAACGTAGCTACACTGCCGCCAAATGACTTATTATTGGTTGATCGATCCTGACGATAAATATTGAAATCACGTAGTGATACTAAGAAATCGTCCTGTAAATCAGTTAACCAAGATTTTTGAATTGTAATGATGCCACATTTACGATACATGCTTTGGCTTAGTAGAAATTGAAGATAGTCCACCTTGTTAATTAGTGATCGGCAGTTAGAATTTAGCAGCTTGGGAATCGACATATGAATTATATTCATTCTCTTCAATACATATTGCCAACTACCACGATATCTCTTATTGTACTTTTTTGTAACCTATGTCCTATGCTTTTCATAAACACACCTATAAAGGTTATGCGATTAACAGACATAATGAGGTGTTAAAACAAAATAATAAACAGACAATCTGTTGAAATATTTATATGGCAGAAACAGGTAGCCCAGTTATTCAAGCAGACCGCCAAATAACATCTTTTCTTTATTAGGTTATAGTAGTTCTAATGGTACTTCGAAAGAATGTAGTTTGATTTTTAAAGAGATTATATTTTCGTGTAATGAAAAACTATAATATTTACGAAAATCAGAATCTAAGCGATGACTGAATTGTTTGCATTTATTGCATTGTGATGGATTCTGAATCATATCATACAATCTCTCTAACCACTAGTTGTGCTTATCTGGCTGACCCTAACCTGTTTGCAATATGTCTGTCTGGTGGTTAGTGAATTCTTGGGCTGGTTCCGATTTTCGGTTTTGTCATCGTTAGCATTTTTCCAACTGACCTCTACGTCAACCATCATCGTTGCTCCAAAGTATATGCAGTTATTTGTTGTATGTACTGCATTTCTAGATCACCTCAGTCAATTGAGATTCACTAATATTTCAATCGATTTCTCATTATGTGCCTATTACCATGCATTTAACCTCTGTATCTCTCACTCTGTGGACCAAAGATACACGGACAGTGCCTTGAAGTCATTTATGACCAAATAATCGTAACCTGGTATATATATATATATATATATATATATATATATATATATATGTTTCATTCTTTAGTCATTCTACCATATTAATTTTTCTCTTTGGTATTTTTCTTTTTTACAGCCTTGTAAATCATCCTTTGGCATTTGTTTTTTCAAGTTTTATGATTATCATCGGTTTACTATTATTCAGTTTGATATCAACACTTGTACAAGCAACAAAAAATGAACAACAGAATAAATGTACAACAGAGAAGCGTTACAACGAAACAAATCAAGATGTTAATACATCATTCTCATCAAACAGTAATATTAGTGATAAAAATAGTAGTAGTTGTTGTGGTAATAATAGCAGTAGTAGTCAGTGTAAATTTACTGAAGGGTCAGTTATTTTGTTTTATTTCTGTTTTTTTTTTATTAATTGTTTGATTGCAACGTATATGGTTTTCATCAACCAATTGATTTATCATTTAGAGGAGCCATTTATAATCAAGGAGCACTGAAACACTGTTTTAGTCTAGTTAAATATTCCTTTATAGTAGTGTACATTTGTGATTTATTCAAGACCGTAATAAGGCGTTTTCCTACATCAATAATGATGAATTAGTTTTGATCATAAAAAAATAATAGATTGATTCATTAACATATGTTTGATCATAGCTTAAAGTACATGGAATATTTTAAATGGTTCTTTTCTTACATCCGTTTTATTTGTATATATGTCGATGAGGTTGTGAATCTTCATCGACTGGGATGATCGGGTCACGTGTTACGTATACCTGAACACCGATTACCACGACGCACAATGCTGACTAGTGTTGGGGATGACTGGAAGAAAGTTAGGAACAGCCAAACCAAAGCGTGGCATCACTCCTCGAAGTCACTAACTTCTAGTCTTAGCCATGTTGATAGATGCAGACTACTTGATTTGCGTCCGCGTGACTATCGTAATCAATGGTTGGAGATTGTGGGTGACATGGCTCAGAGTTGATCACAATAGTGTAGGTGTATACACTCTCTGTCTTCCGTTAAACCATGACATTAAAATTGCTTTGTATCTTTCTTTCTACGAACTAATTCTTTCTTCCTGTACTATATCGTTATATGCAATCTTTCTTTTATATATCACCATCTCTGAATTAACTACTTTTATGAATCCGGTGTTCATCTTGCTCTGCTAATGAGGTATGGCATCTTGGACCAATGCACATATGTGTTTGGTCCTACGTTGTAACTGAGTGATTGTATATATGTAAAGACTGAATAAAATCGTCTTTCCTTAATTATTAACTGCCATTTATATTTATTGATAAGGGTTTTTGTACAGTTTTATTGTTTATGAAATTGTGCATCGCATAATATACTTGGCATATAAATTCTATTGTTATCGCTTCTGTTTTCTCCAATGAACTAGAAGAAAACTGTACCGACCATCATAACGATCCCTCTTAAATTTTGCAATAATTAGCTTCACAAAAGGTTATAAGCGTTGTGTAAAAGCACTTGAGTAGATACTCTTTACATTACAAATAGTGACCCATAAGTATAGGTAGACATCCATTTTCTTATGTTCCTTCACTAATTCACGGAACTTCCTATTTCCAAAAATTTTGGTCACAATAACTGAAAGTTCAACGAGTAGTTTTAATCCATGACTCGTATGGTTTTACTATAGAAATACAATATCACAACTTACAAATCCTACGAATGTTCTCAAAACCTCCTTTTTTTGTTTGATTCTGAGCTCTGAAATCCTGTTATAGATTCGAAGCCTATATTTTTTGTCATTGGGATGATATCTTTTGATCATTAAATACATTACCTTTTGATGTTTTGGAGTAATAAGACAACAATGTCGTTAGAAATTACTAAAAACTGTTGTAAGTATCAAGTCTAAAGTTTTAGCTAATAGTAATACCATAAATATTTATTATTTTGTATTTATGTCCAGGTCATCTGCACTTACTCCTATTGTTTCATTAAATCCTTCCACATATGACCGTCTTGTACGTGATGCCCCTAAAGGTTTCAGGCTTCTAGTATTATGTGTTCGTGGAACTACTCAAGATAATCGACTACGTGATCAGTTTGACTTCAAAACTCGTCGAGTTTGGTAGGTTTGATTGTTTTGTTTTTAGTTCAGATAATACATTTTAATAAAATTATTTCTATATCCGTTACTTCATAGTGTATTCAGTTTACTTATTTCCTCATACACACTAACCTCAGGACATTATAGTTTGGTTTTGTGGTTAAGATGGTTAACCAGATTTATTTTGTACTGAAGTGTAAAACTGTGGAAATGAATATACTAACCAGTCAATGTATTATTTCCAAATTGATTCCTTTTTACTAATTCGTCCATCTTTCTGAAAAAAAACGATGTCCTGTAAAGCTATACTGTTCTCATGTTCCTCGTCACTGATGAATTTAATATCAGAATGGACGTTATTTAAACACTTCAATAGCTTTTATATACTGACACTATTGTCACACACAGTATGTTTTTGTTGATTGAGATCTTGAACCGACTAATGTTAGGCCACCATTGAAAACCTGGAAGCGTTGGACGGCCTTTTCGTCCTATCGTGGGAGTCCTCAACAGTGTGCATCCACAATCCCGCCCGCGGGATTTGAACTCGGAGCCTTCAGTCTCGCGCTACAACAAATCTGACTTATGCACCAGAAATGTTATTTTCAGATGCTGTTTACTGTGATGCACAATCTCGTCACCCAATGCATAAATCACATGTCATAAACCTTTATGTTTATCTCTACTTTGTCTTATTCAGTTTGCTCCAAGTTGTATTTTCTTAGTTCGCGTGAATTTTTTAAATTTATGTTATTATCAATTATCTCAGTCAGCTCGATATTACGCCTGTCCTATTATACATTCTATTTACTTACTTTCTGGTTAGCGTTTTTTTAACGCCCAACCCTCCTCCTTTATCAGGGTTTGAGGCCGGCAATAGCTTCGGAAGGGCTCCAGGCGGAATCATACATTCTATTTACATCATTTATTTCTTTATATTGACTGTAACTCGATACCTTCCAAAGAATTTTCGCTACCTCTTTACTTTAAAATGACTTTCGAAATTTACACATCACACATCTTGGTCTTATTTAAACCTTAACCGATATAGAAGTGCACTATTTCAACTCATTTAGTTTAGGCTTATTTTGATCAGCAGTGTAAATAATTCACAATTTAACTATTTATTTCAGTTGATATGTTAAGCCTTATTTTTATTTTTATCTGAACACATAAATCTGGGTACAATGGGGCACCGAATACATATGCGCCACATAAGTCACTTGATTTGTGTGTGGGCTGTGTTACTGCGCGGGTGCCCAGACCGAAGCGGGTGGTTTTTTTAGGGGGCCACACCCGAAGCCTTCGATCTAATAAAGGTCCGATCAACAAGGCAGTGGATCGACGTTAGGAGATGCAGTCCCATGGTAGCCAGTGACCAATGATTGGTCCATACAGCATTTGTTCCCTAGGGATACGGGAGCCCATGTGCACCATTGGTTTTGAATCAGAGTTTTCCAATTTCTCCCAGGTGGGGCGTCCGTGTTCACCAAACCGGTTAGATCACTGGATATTAGCTTATTGTAAGGTGTTTAAATCGGTGCTAAAATGGTTGTAAGAACCACTAACTTTGTGTACTAAAATGCAACTACAAATTAATGATAAATTTCTATCCGATCAAAGCATGTGTTCATTATTAGTGAAATTATTATTTTAGTTTTATTACTTTTTTTAATAATAATTTTATTCTTTCATTAGTGGAAGTCAAATTCAACGTGCTTGTCTTTCTATGGATCGATATTCTGGTTGGCTTGCAAAATTACTTGAATCTATCAGATCTAATTTACCAATACATATTCGTTCTAATAAAACTATTCAAAAGAATACGAATGTGAATGATACTACTGATGATAATAATAATAATAGTGGAATTTTATTTATTAATCCAGTGAACTGTGTTGGAACAGTTATCGCCGTTAATGGTTATCGTCGATATTTCAATCTTTATCATCCTTTAATTCCAGGTTCTCAAAGCAGTTCTGATGAAGATTCTGTAAGTGATACATAATTTAAAATTTTGATGTTTTCTTATTCTAAGTTGTGTATTACAGAGTATTAATTCAGTTATACAGATGAATGAATTCCTCTTGAAAAGTTAAGAAGCACTGTCTGATTAGTTCATCCATAGAATGTAGTGCAGTCAGTCAGTCAGTAACAACGTAGAACTTCGTACGTACGTACATCAGTTCGAATTGCCACACCACATTAGCACAGAGATGCACTTGTCGATTCAAATCCCGTAGTGATAAAGGTAGTAAAATCATAAGCAGTAATCGGAAACAATAGGGTTTGAAGGTGTTATTCAATGAGTATAATGCAATGAAATAAATTTGGAAAGAGAAAAGAGAAAGGGACATGAAGAATTCAGAAGATTAGAATTTGGGAAAACACAAAGAGTGGATGCACCTGCGCCATTGCAAACGATTTTGAGCCATGTCATTCAGGGTCTCTAACCATCGGTTGCTATCATCTCGTGGATCCCAACCAGGTAGTCTACACCTACAAACATGGCTCAGTCCACTTGTCAGTGACTCCATGGACTTGTGCCATGTTTTGATCTGGCCGCCCCTAGATTTCTTACAACCTACTCCTACACCATAAAACATCGCACGTCGAGGCAGTCAGTGGTTGAGCATACGTAACACATGTCCCAGCCATCTCAACTGATGAAGTTTCATTACTTCATCAATTGATTTGCCATCCTTACCTAGTACCCGTTTCCTAACAACTGTGTTACTTACTCGATGGTCCCAGGATATACGAGCAATGTTTCGGAGACACCTATGATCAAATACTAGTAACCTACGAATATCCTCTACTCTTACCGGCCATGTTTCACTGCCATAAAGTAGGACGGAACGAACTGCTGCGCAGTAAACACGTCCTTTGGTTGATAGACGGATATCTCGCCTACGCCATGAATGACGCAAGTTGGTAAAAGCTAGTCGAGCCTTCTGTCTCCGTGCTGAGATTTCGTCACACACCAGACCACAAGGGCTGATGAGACTTCCAAGATAAGTGAAGCGGTCGACACACTCAACTACTTCACTCCCTATCACTAGTTCGGGTGTCGATGTAACCCAATCCTGAAGCAACATTTTGCATTTCGAGGGAGAGAATCGCATCCTAAACATGCTTGCATTGTTGCTTAGAGTGGTCAGAAGACTCTGCATTTTGTCAGCGTCTTCACCAAATAAAACTATGTCATCAGCATATTCTAAGTCAACAAGTGAACCTCCTGGTAGAAGTTCAACCCCTGTATATTTATATGAGGAGAGTGTTATCTCTAAAAGTACGTCAATGATAAAGTTGAACAAGAATGGGGAGAGTGGACAGCCCTGACGAACACCACTTGAGGTGATCAATTCTGATGACAGTTCGCCATAAGCTCTCACTCTACCAGTTGTGTTCGAGTAGAGAGCCTTTATAAGGTTAATGTACTTCTTTGGTACTCCTTTCAGTGACAAACACTGCCATAGAACCTCACGATCAATAGAGTCGAATGCCGCCTTAAGGTCGAGAAATACTACCATTGTGGGGCGTCTGAATGTGTGTCTGTGTTCTAGAACCTGACGTAGTGTGAATATCTGATCTATACAACCACATCCAGGTCGAAAACCAGCCTGGTTTTCTCTAGTCTGCTCTTCACGAGCTTTAGTTAGGCGTCGAAGTAATATTGAGGCTAATATTTTAGACACTATATTAGTCAAACTGATTCCTCTGTGATTGTCGCAAGAGGTTTTTTGTCCTTGCTTATAGACTGGCACAATCAGTGATTGAGACCAGTCAGATGGGATTATGTTCAGTTCCTAAATTCTACCTAAGACCTCAGTTAATCTCACTGCTAATACTGGACCACCATCCTTAAAAATCTCAGGAGTAAACCTGTCAGGGCCTGCTGCTCTCCCTCGCTTCAGATTTCCTATAGCTTTTTCAACTTCGTAAAGGGACGGAGGACTTACATTAACTTGCCATTCAGGTTGACTGGAGATCGTGGGAAACCGAAGTGTGGCTGAAGGCCAGTTGAACTGATCCCTAAAGTGTTCTGCCCATCGATCCAATCTCCTGGATTGAGAATGAATAATATGTCCATCTTTCTCTGAGATTGTTTCGCTAACGGTCGGGTTCCTAATTCCGGTTTCCTTAACGAGTCTGAACAATTGTCTGCTATTACCTATTGCCGCTGCCTTTTCCATCTCTCTTGCTTTCGCTACCCACCACTGTTCGCGATCATTGCGTAGACTTCTTGTCAGCTTGCGCTTAAGCTGACTCCGCTCTTCATTATGTTCAGAGCCAGGTGGAATGTGTTTCCGAGCATTTATCAGTGAGATAGATGCTGCTGAGATCCAGTGTTACTCCCTAACCTTCTGGTTTACCTTACTAGCAGATATCACTGCTGTTTCCACAGCTTTTCGGATATCATTCCATGCTGCATCGGGGTGGGCATCACATACATGGCTGCCTAACTGTTTTCCTAGTTGTTCCTGAAATATACTCTTAGCTTGACTATCATTAAGTAGGGCCCTAAGAGGTTTCCTTGCAGGATCTTTCCTACGTCCAGTAAGACGCAAGCAAATACGCGCTCGCACTAGAGCATGATCTGAATCTAGGCATGTGCTCCAGAATGAGCGACAGTCCTCTATCGAGCCCCTTCATCGGTGGCTGATAGCGATGTGATCTATTTGGGTCCAACGTCGGGATGAATTAGGGGGTCGCCATGTTAAAAGATGTTTTTCCTTATGCTTAAAGTTAGTATTTGCAAGAAAGAGGCGGTTATCTGAGCATAGCTGCAACAGACGGTCGGCATTATCTGTTCTCTGAGCCACGACACCATAGGATCCACCTAGGTGTCTTTCCTTATCGCTTAGTTTACCTACTTGAGCATTAAAGTCACCGGCCACTATTACTTCATCCGAGCGCTTAGCTTTTCGGAGAAGGTCCGAAAGCTTTCTGTAAAACTCATCTTTTACATCATCTGAGCTGCAGTCAGTGGGAGAATAGGCAGAGACGACGAAGAGGCAACGACGAGTGTCCCTATCTTTCCGGATTCTTACTGTTCCGTTCAGTCGGACAGCGCACAAACGACTGTTTACTGGAATCCACTCTAAGAGAGCTAGTTCTGCCCTAGGACTCAATGCTATACCTACGCCGGCGAGGCCACGGGAAGCAGAATCAGGGCTTCCAGATACACGAAGCGTAAATCGAGTCGGTTCTTTATTTTGGCATGGTGAGGTCAAATGAATGACGCTACTTGGATCCTGTATGCGCGTTTCGGAGACGCAGCAAACATCGATGGCGCGGGATTTTAAAGTCCTAGCTAAGGAAGCCTGCTGTCCTATTTGGCAAAGTTAAAAGCTCCTACGTGTAGTTTAGAGAGTGGTTTCAGGAGACCAGGAATGGCGTTCCACGTACTCGAATCGTTTGCCCTAGCGGTGCGAGGTGATAAAGAGACGTGAGGAGGGTTAGTCAGGAGGATAAGAGAGGTATTAGGAGGTGTAGGAAGGATTTGAATGTGACCAACTTGGTCTCGTGTGCTGTTACGGGTATGAGGGCTGATGTCACTTCGCGGCTGCCCACACCGTGGAAGGGTATTTCTTGAGGAACCTGAAAAAGAAATTGGATTAGTGTTGGTCTTGACGACCTGGGAGCGTGACCGCAGAGCCCAAGGGACAACTACTTGAGGCCGGTCGCGCACGGCCTTTTTGTGGAAGGTTTTTGACGTGTTAGCTCCGTTCTTCAAGGGGCCTTACCTCCGGAGACGGAAATCCGTGAGGTAAGGTGAGGTGTGCATTTTTAGGGTCGACCTTTTCTAACCCCACCCCTCCTTGTGGGAAGGCAGCATCGCTGTCATGCTGGTTGTCCGAGGGAAACACCTTACTGCTGTCACACCTCTCTACAGTCAGCAGTACGACTTCGCCCTCAGACCTTGAGTTGCTGCTTTTAGTCTTACCGTTCGCCAATCGACCTGCCTGGCATGGTAGAACCTGCAGGAACATATGTTCCAGCCAATATAGCTCGGTTGGGTCATCACGATAGGCAAGCCCGACCACCGCGTCAAGGTAGCAGCTTCGATCGGGACAAACACGACCATTAAGTCAAATAGCTTGTGAAACATGCTTGTGTACTGACTACTTATAAGACGAGGTGAATTGGATACCCTTTTATTCTAGAGTTTGGCTCGTGCACGTAATTGCTATTTCTCATGCCTAACTTTCTAGAATGGTTGCCTGTTTATAGAGGCCTGGTGGACTAACAGTTATTATGAATCTTGATTAAAAGTTAGCCAGCTCATTCGCCAACAATGTGGCTATACATTCAAGGATAGCTAGAAACGATATGTTTGGTAATCTCCAATTCCAGCGAACTTGTGTTTGGTACTTTAGTAATACTTGCTTCTCAGTTGAACTTTAGTCGGCTAGTGGATTGTAAAAGATGTGCAAAGATCTATATAAAATGTCGGCCGTTTTCCTTTCACGTCCAAATGTATATTTTTATTATTATTACCAGTCATCTACTATATAGTCTGCCAACTTGGATCGATGCATATATGCTACAGGTTCTAGGCTACATTCGACTGAGTGAGGAGAAGTACTTCCGTCAAGACTGACAGTATGTTAGACTTTTGTCGTATTGGTATCTTGTTGTAGGTACTATCGGTTTCTGAGCTTCCTAGTTAATATTCTCTAGTCCCGGCACCATGAGACATTCGTTCGTTGACAGTGAAACGTGGCACCAATAATCATCGTCTCAAGTTCCAACAGCTCACCTCATGGCCGAGAAAAATTAATTAGATGCAAACTGAATAGGACAATCATATAAATTGTGGCAGAAAGCACATCGTTGCTTACGCAAGCTTTGTTTAAAAAGTTTATATTTCACAATGAGTTTTAGTCCAACAGTGACTGCACGAACTACTTTCTTAGTTTCACGGCTTTCCAGTCTACTACGCTATCTGACAAAGGAGTTAACAAGAAAAACGGTCGTTCAGAATCAAATATGGATCATTAGCGAAATCAGTCACTTAAATAACCCATTTGGAGCATGATAAAAAAACGATTACTAGTTTATGGACCCAGCATTTGTTAGGCGATTCCGGAGTACAGTGCGCTTTAATATGAGTAGTTATTAAGTTAATATGATCACATGCCATTTCGATTAACTCCCCCAGACCACCTGCTTCGGTTTGGACAGTATTCCAGCCCTCACACAAATCATCTATTTGTGTGGTGCATATATGTTTGGCGCCTCGCTGTACTAATTTTTATGTGTTTAAATAAATAAACTCCAAAACCACTAGAATAAAATTGTCTTACCCACATAGGTTGGCATGTTGTGTAATTTAAATGATATCGAAATAAGCATAAACCTTGTAATATCAAGTGGCCAAATAAGGACAGTTTCGTCGGGATTAAAATTTATCAAGAAATACTGAATGAAAGTCTGCTGTTGATATTATTTTTCATAAGTTGTCTGTTAATGAGCTTTTATTTTGGATACGGATAGGTGGGCCGATAGTTCACATTGATTATTATTATAGTGCGGTATCAATCAACTCATTCATCAACCACTTGAGTGCGAGCCACATTAAACGTAAGGCCTAGTCATACTACCCGGTTACCCAAACCAGATTAGGTTGAATATTGTCATAGAGTTACCTCATCTATCGGAACGCATATAAATGAATGCGAAAATAGATGTACGCGAAAAGAAAACAAGATTGTAAAGATATAGAGTAAGGAGGGTGTGCATAACAAAGGAAATGAGTAGAATTTTGTATATTTAGATATTGAACTTCAAGTAAATCGGATAAATTTACCCGCCTTAGTTACGTCAACACGATGAACTACCATATACGCTGTGAAATATCAGATCTTTGCAGATAAATGATTTGTATTATCAATATTTGTAAGGGCCTTATCGTGTAGATATAGGTCTCTTCGAGGTAAACATCTAAATCCATCCAAATCTTTTGGTTTTAGATGACAGTATCCATGTATGTTGAGGTACACGACATACATATCATGTTAAAAATTGTTGTGCACATTACGATTCACGGGAACGAGATATTGTCTGAATCTTGCCAAATGACATAAATCTAAGTGACGAAAAACCTGTCAATATGTATTGTTAACACTAAAGGTAGAAGAACATGTTCCCAGTATTACAATCACAGGAAATTGCTGTAGATTTGCCAAAAAACTTAATAGGTTTTGAGTTTTTGCGAAAACTTGTGGTGCAATAACTTATTCACTTCATATTGCATACGTACCATAGACAACGAATAAAAGACAAGTAATTTCTGTAAATCAATTATTGTAAATAATAAGCCAAAAGGAAAACATTTAACCATAAGCACAAATATTCGTTTCCCCCAAAAAATAAGAAAGAAGGAACACCAACTAATAAATAGGCATTATTTATGCAAAGAAATAGACTGATTTAGGAAAATTAAATGAGAAAGATAGCTGTTTGAAAGGTGTATATTTGTATAATAGAAAAAAACTCTGCTTATGATTTGAAACTAGAATAAAGTCTTGACCGTTAGCCAACGATGAAGACCACTTATAATACAAAGAAAATAACTAAGTTAGAAATAATTAATTTCTACTGGAAAATAATCGAATGTATAGAAGTTGGAGGATTTTTGATTTTGAAACAATGACGTTGATAGATAGAAACCGTATTCACAAATGCAATTAATCAAATGGTAAGTTAACGTGCATCAAGGATTGTACTTCTGCATGCTTTGGATCTGTAGTGAGATAAAAGAACATGTTTAACAAAAACATTACAACATAATATAACGATCATTTGAATCGATTGGTGCACATAGTTGTGATTAGTGCTGTCGAGTAGTATCTGTATGATGTTTACAATAAGTTAGCTAATCTAGCTCAAAGTTATGGACTAGTGCATACATTCGAGTTTTTCTTCCATTCTCATTACAAATCCTTTTAAAAGGGAATAAACTAACAGCAGAACTACCTTAACATACTAAGCATAATAAATCACTTGTTTATAGGTTGGTAGCGCAGAAAATGTGGGAGACAGGACTCAAGTTAGGTTCACTATTCATCTCATCAACACAAACCACCAGCTTTTATAAAGGTTAAATCCTACATTTCAAAACTACTTATTTTCTGACATTCCTAGTGTTTAAAAAGGCTACGTAAAACTAGCTAAATTGTATGTACATGATGTCTGATGACCTTGTACTGTCCCGAAACTAAATAGCTGAGTCGGGAATGATGCTTATGCCATATATCAGTTTCCGAGAAATATTGACGGTCTTCATGGTTATATATCATTTGGATTGTAGTAAGTCAGCAGTATCAAATTATTTACAAAAAAACTATGAAATATACAACATATATAATGATATAAATCGTATTTATAATTATCCGGCACATTTAAGCACTGTCAAAATTCACGAAGTTTACATTATTACTGATAACAAGTAATAACTCAGTTGAGCAGTAGGTTATTGGTTTGACCACTTAGCGCTCGGTCAACGTGTCCGGGGTGAAATTTCTACCCAACCTACTTCCTTATGCAGTCAGTCAAACAAAACGTAGAACCTCGTACATATGTACATTGGTTTACACTTTCATACATAATCAGCACAGCGATATGAAATTATTAGGGCTATTTATAGAGCAGTATTAATGGTAGTAAAAAAGATTACACATTAAAGATACGATCCAAGAAAATATAAATTAGTGAAATACACGAAACTATGAGGAATTCATAAGTTTAGGATCTGGAGGAAGACAAAGAATGGATCCACCTGTGCCATTACAACCGATTTTCAGCCATGTCATTCCACGTCTCCAACCACTGGTTATGATACTCACGTACAACCCGACCAGATAGTCTATACGTGTAAACATTGCTTAATCCACTTGTCTATGACTCCATGAACTGATGTTGCATCCTTATAATGCCTCCTCTAGTTTTCTTTCAACCTACCCCTACCTACCTAACACATGTCTCAACAACATCAGTTGATGAATTTTTGCTGCCTTGTTAATCAATTGGCCATATTTACCTAGTACTATATCCTTAAATCTGGAATTGCTTGCTCAGTTGTCCTGGAACACAGATGACACTTCAAAGACATCTATGACTCAATACTAATAACGCACGACTATCATCTATTTTTAATGGCCATGTTTCATACCCATCAAGTAGAAAGGAGACTGTTGCGCTGTAAGACGCTTTTTAGTTGATAGACGGGGATCTCATCTATGCTACAGTTGATGAAAGTTGGCAATAGCTAATTCAACTTTCTGGACCTGTGCCAAGATTCAGTTAAGCACCAAGCGGTTACTATGACGAGCTGATAGTTATCGACATTGTATGTTAATTATTTTCTTACTTCCATTATAAAAAATTGAAAGTAACAAGGTTTTTATCCTAACTAGGTTAAATTTCTACCTTTTTAATATTGATACACGTTAGTAGTGGGATATTATATGTATTCACATTTTATTGAGAAGCAAGAGAAAGATTTATTGCAATCATAATTTATGGTTGCTATTAGAGACAATGTTATTACACTTGTGTCTGTTTAAAATAATAGAAGGATAAATTGTTGAAAAATTAGTTTTCATTGATGATTTCATTAAAGGAATAATACTAAGCAGTTTGAATCAATGAATTTAGGGGTTACAGAGAAAATGGGAACTCAAATATTCACTAGGATGTCTCCAAGAAGGAAAATGAAATACACTTGTTGTACTGATTCCAATGATGGTTATTACAGTGATTGAGCTTAACTATTGGGACAACACGACCTAACTATAATGGGTGAAGCGCTTGTTCCTTGAGGTTACTCAGGAGGATTTGAAAGCAACAAGGTGTTTGCTAGAGATAATCATTTACGGAGATGTTTCCTGCCCACAACGTGGTGTTGGAAAAGGTCAATCCTGGGAGTATATCTTATCCTAATGCAGTTTTCTAGTGCCTGATGAGGCCTGCAAAGTATGGAGCCTATATATGAAAACCGAACTACTAAATGGTAGTATACCACCAAATACGGCCAGATATTTCTTCAGCTAAGCGGTCACGTTCCTGGATTGACCATTCACTAATAACCAGCCTAGTTCATTTCCAGGTCCATAAACGAAAATTATACTTTCACAAAACGTTTGGTTCGCTTAAACACACCTAACAATTCTCGATTTACTCTTAGTTATAGTAAAAACCTTTCATTAGTTCTTTACATTTTTTCCATTCCTATTATCAATAGGTTTTTGCTGACTCCTTCATTTTTGCGTGGGCTACTGGTGCTAACAATTCAATCTCAAAAAATATATCGGTAGCCTAAAGATGTGTTCCGAACCATATGATGAAGTTTTAAATGTCCGAACCCTTTGTCGAACCAGGTATCAGTGGCTAAGATTAAAATTTTATGTTGTTGATTTGTACTGTGTCGAGATTCAGTACACAGAATCCAAGGTTTATGACTTGTATCATCTCATCTAGATCACCCAGATTCCTTCTTGGTGTATCTGGAGATTTTTTAATGATTTGTCGTCGCCTCACATGTATAAGCGTAGCATTAGATTAAAAAGCAAAATCGGAACCCTCGATTGTGTACTTAAAATCCTAAGAACATGCATAATTTTCACTGATTAAAGACAAGAGAAAGTTCTATAGAAAGCTTTCTAACACTAATTAAAAGGTAAGGGACGCTGGTTAAGTAATTATGGCGAGAGATTTTGGCGTATAAATAGGTAGGCCTAGTCAAGTTGAAAAACGAATAGATCGCTCATTAGAGGCTCCAACTCAGAGAATTCCAAAACAGTAACCATCTGCTACATTTATTGTCAGATAACTGTTGAAGAGGATAAACTTAAAGTACAGAAAGAGACGTTTTCTGAAATGAAAACACAAACAGAATGGCGACCACAAACATACCACGCTAGTATGATGAAAAAACATGCTCGTTTTGGAGCACATAACTGAAATATAATAACGCTCCCGTAAGAGCATATAAATTTCTTCATCCAATAAAACGTAGAAATCTCATTAATATAGAAAATTCTAGAGCTCAACTCAAAGATAGAAATGTCAAAGATAAGATAATTTGATATGATCTATTATAAAAACAAGTGATGAGTGTCATTAATCTAAAATAAAAGTTTAGGGAATCCAAGTACATTTCAGTAAATCATTGGACCGACTTTGTGTTGGAAACCTCATCATAGTGGTTGATGAAATTAGGAACTTTTGTCATAGAAAAACCGCAACACTCGTAAAGCATGTACGATATATTTCTGCCTATTGAAAGGCGTGTAACCAGAAAGTTAACGCAGAATCCCTCTAAGGTTGTGCAACACTATTTTTGATGGAAGAGGATATTTGTAGATAACCAGTATTTGATCACAGATATCTTTAAAGTCTTACCAGTGCATAGTGCTGAGGATAGTGTATAGTAAAAGCCAATAATAGTAGACTGTTGACGGGGATATGAATTTTTATCGAATGTGGCTGTTGGAATACTTTACGTATAGCAGAATACTGGCTATCAATGTTCGTCGAAGTATGAGTAACTTGAAAGATCGCGGTGGCAAAACCAATACGTGACATCAGCCTAGGAAATCACTAAATACTGATGCGTCGTACTGTGAACTCCATACTTCATGGCAATAGTGACCGCTTTATTACTGGTAAATGGTCAAACACCTAAGTAAGTTGGATTAAAGTCGGTTACAGTAGAACAAATGCATTCATACTTTATTATCCGTAGTTCATAATGTTTCTGATATTGTCTGGATGGATAATATAATTATTTCATGATAAAGCCTTTACAGCGCAAACTGCAAACCATCTACATACAATTCATTATCAAGCAAAAGATTTGAATTCTTGATATATCCACAACACATTCTTCCTATTGAAATACTTTAACATTAAATCCATAAACGACTATGCATATTATAACCAAAAATACAGTTTGAATTTTGTTGTGCGTATTAAACAGACATTTGAAGCCAAAAATTCATATTGCAACTGGATTCCCCCCCATAAACTCAATGTAAAACTGTTCGTTTCATTTGACACTGTCAAATTAGTTGGTAAAATAGCACACGTAACAAAAAAGCTTTCCCGTATTTTAGAAATGAATAACTAGGACATCAGAAGCTATAAATCATAATCACAATGTACAGTTATGAGATAATAACTATATGGAGAAAAAGAAACTGTTCACCTTAGTAATCCAATGACAATATAACGTTAAGAAAGTGAAAAGATTGCAAAACTATAGTATTTATAAAGCATGAATAAATTGTAGCAGAAATAATGTTAATAATGAAAGTAAACGATAAAATCAATGTTATAATTGTTGACGACATTCAATTAATTATTGTACAACAAGTTGATTACATAATCAAGACAATGTATTTACACATTCTACTTAACTGTGTTGTTTATAAATTAATGTTTATATTAAAACAAAATGTGAGGTTGACCGTCATTTTGATTTCATATACAATTAATTGTGGAATAATTTGCCTCTAAAAAAAGAATTCTGTATTAGGTTGTTATTATTCGTTGAGATTAAATTAGCTACTTTTGGATAGGAGTTCACTTAACAAAGTATATAACTAAACTATTGGTAGTGTACATGGAGAGACTAATTTATAGATGAACCAATCAGATTTAAGATAGCAGATTTTGAATTTCATTCACTCATTTGGTTAAATACTATTTTAGCACTATAGCTGTTATCAGTTCGTGATTAAAAAAAAACATTAAATTTAATTGCTAAGCCTAATGTTCAACTGTAAATCTTAATTCTAATTCTTCACACTAATATATAACCCTCATTTAACACTAGTAAGTAGGTGGACATTCCAAGGTCATTTTAACGTTGCTGAAAGGTCGTCCATGAATTTTAGCCTCACTTAAAAAAAAGGAAATGATGATCTAGATCAATTATCGTATTGATTGAAATTTTGAAGTAAAAAGCTCAAGAGGATAAGAACAGAGTATAGAATTGCTCAGGAAAAACAACAAGATGTCGTTACAATATTACTAACAATAAAGGTATAAGTATATCTAATTGGCAAAGTAATTTAATTGGAAATGGAGAGTATTGAATTTTATGCAAAGTTAAAAACATAATGATTAGTAACTAAGTAGGAAATAAGTAAAACATAATAATATTTAGTTCATTAAACGCCTAACATTAATAAACAAGACAAAACTATAAACAAAATGTTGAACTTGATCAACTCTTAAAATAACGATGAGAAAGTGATTATTTTTACTAATCAATATTATGGAAAATAGATAGGACTGTGAAATGTATATAAGATTTTTAACATAAATTGAGTTTTTCAAGGTGACTGACTTATAAGCCTCTTGAGAGATATGAATTCAAAGAATTATTTGCATAAGTATAGTTGGATACAAAGCATTCTACACTGAAACCTTGTAAGTATAACGTTGATTTCTTAGTATTAAGACTTTAAATTTTTGCGTGATAAATTGATACTACTTAAATACTGTTTGATTAAAAAAAAAAGCACCTTTACTATCTTAAGATTATTATTTTTAGTATCAATGATATAACAAAGTATTTCCTGTTGATTCGATAATATAAAGTTCACTAACATTTCAAATAAATAGTTATATGCAGCCTTTTACACAAGTAATTACAATAATTAACAGTATGAATACGTTCTAATTATCTAAAGTATATAATGTAATTTAGTTAAGTTCATATTGTCCTAGGAAATATAGCATACTACTGATCAATCCTCCCTCCTTTCACACTCTAATCTCCTTGTTGTTTGATTTAGTTCGGAAAAAAAAATTATTAACAGTAGTATGATTAAGTAATTGTAATATATATCATGAAATAAATGATCATTTTTATGTATAATTACAAGATCACATGAAGATTTTATTGGTTCAACTGTCATAGAGTATATAGATGTAGATGAAACTTTAATTTATGCTTCATTACCCATTAGCTTTATAAATATAACCCTTAGAGTAAAATATACAAAACTTGATTATTTTAAATAAATATGTGAAATATAATACTGTAAAGTGTAAAATAATGTAATTTGATTATTAACCTACTAATTCACTTCAATTTCATTGTTAAAATTACTAACCAGATAAAATAAACTAGAGGAGAATTAGGTTTTTTTGTATAAAGTATTTCGTTTTGTTTTGTTTTTTCGACTTACACAATAGAGACCCTCATATTGAATTTTTTTTAAAAAAACAACACGTATATACTATTGTGATTACTTATCGGTGCTTAAAATGAGTACTATTTTTTCTCCAAGTACTTAATCAATACTACTTAATAATACATATACCCCCATACAAACTGTAAAGATCTACTAAACTGTTAATTCGAGGATAAAATAACCGTGTTCCAAATTGTTGTTTTGTTGCCTTTATTGATAGATAGAAGCCAACGGTGATAAAATGTTTAACAAAATGTCATGTATTCTTATCGAATAAAAACTATTTAATTAGAACCATTATATGATGAAAAAACAACCGACATATGTTTCTTATATTATACAGTAAACAGATAAACTGAAAACTAAAGAATACTAAAACTACTGAAAAGTATTATTAGTCATTTCACTTATAGGTTACAACATCGAACTTAAGCTTTTTCCAAGGATTTAACAATGTTCATAATAGGTTTTTGATTTAAAAATGTAACAACTCGTACTGACATCCGTTTTTACGAGTCAAACAAAGAAAGCGATAGTCCTCGTAACTGTTTCAAATAGAAATAAAAAAACCAAGATGCATAGTGTACTTTAAATATATCCTTACCATTTCGTTATTTACATCTTCGTATACTGACATCTGAGTGGAGTAACAACTTTTGATACTCATTCGTTCAACGTTCTAATCTGTCCACGATTGACTGACTTAATAATATATGCTTCACTTACCTACACTTACATAGAGCTTCACAACTCAATAAACTGATTTTAAAAATCTAAATTCCCTCACTTAGTTATTCCACCAAACTCGAAGCCCGTAAGTCCTACTGATCAAATCCATGGAGTTATGTCTTTAACTTAAAAACCCAAGTTTGATAATTATTAGTCATACGAAGCGAATGAACATAAGTTATTGAGTCTTATTTCTGACAAACATTGATGATAAATAAGGCAGGGTATGGAGAGCATAAATGAACTACAATTAATCTCAACGTTGCACAAATATCATGTGAAATTATGAACAGGTTTGGTGTAAGAGAATACTAGAGCCACATCTTAAATTTGACAAATTCCAATTTTATTGGCAAAAAATACTAAGTTTCTTATATCAAACAGGCTTATAGAAGTATTTGATAATAGAACTATAAGAAACTTAATACACCAGAGTAATATAGTTTTTTTATTTACTGAATCAAAACAGTACAAAAGCTTCAATTTGATTTCAGTTACAAATATACATACATAGTAAATTGTATATCTTATTTGTGTTTAGATGAAGATGAGTTGTTCAAATTTCTAAAATATGTTTAAATGACAGTCGCTCTCTATGTTTATAGAATTCAAAATGTGATCTACTAATGTAATATGTAATGACAACAAGAAAAACAATGAAATATAGACCCAATGAATTTTGACCTTTTTCTAATCAACAATCGAACAACTGTATATATCATCATTTACAGTAATATTATGAATTTTTTAACAGTTTTATCTATTAGTTCACTTTTATATCGGTCATTTGAATCTTCCCATTGATGTTCAGGACTAGAATTGATCAGCCCCTTATTGATATATGCCCATCCTGTGAAGACTACCTCGATATTGCCTTAAGTTACAAGGATTATAAGAGACTGGTCAATTTCAGCCTTGAAATTCAGTAAGATGATTTAAACAATCAATACGAAAATGAAGTAAGCTTCACTCCATTGTACAAGCTAGTGGCTATCAGGACTCAGTAGCTAAGTGGATAACGCGACAGCGTTTGAGACAAACGGTAATGGGTTCGAGTCCCGGAGTAAACATAAACTCTGAGATGCAAGTACAACCAGCTGAAGAGTCAGAGATTGGACGAAACGCGTGTCCTGGATTCCACTGCTAGCTACCATCATCTCTGCATATAATGCTTGCGGTTTTATCTCTTTTTTCAAATTCCCTGCTATTTTTATCGCGTGCTTTTTATTATATGTAACTAATGTTATAAATTTCAACATGAGAAATATCCTGTTTAATCTCTCAATCTACCTTTCAAATTGTCTGCCAGAAGCTTCAATATTCAAAGCTCTATATTGTGGGAAGAGAGTAGATATAATTTATCGTTAAAGACACTAGATGAGATAGCTTAAAATGGTCATAGTGATATTTATTCTTTGCGATCATTCTTTACTTTGCACTCTCAGATCTTGTTCATTCCTTTTTGAAATATCAGCATTCCACTTGAAATTGGTACTAAGATTTCTATTAATCTGCTTCTCATCTTATTATAGTTATGTTAAGGCTGATACATATTTATACCGGATTCTACGCTGTTTAAGATTAATTAGGATTGGATAGATGTAAAAAGAGAGAAAATAATACGTACCTGAGTCTTTATCGATAAATTTATGTCTGTACAAAAAATCCAAGGCAACCATAGCAGAATTTGATTTGAAGTGTTCGTCAAATATTAATTGTTTGATCTACAAAGAACATTTAAGAAACAATAAGAGAAAATATAAATGTAAGATAATAGGCAACAATTTCAATGTCATAAGCCTAATGACTACGTATGTTTTGACACTTATCAGGATGACGTATGTACAATGTTGAGAAGGATAACTCTCACTATTTAAAATGGCATTAATTATTGTCCCAGATAGATAGGTCATCAATAAGCTAACCATGTCAAATAAAGTATAGCGTGATATGATCGATAAAATTTGATAAGCATTAAAAGAATAGACAAACATGACATTGGTTACTTATCAGTGACCAAACAGTGTTGACAATTTCTAATGAATGTTCTATCACGTCAGCATTAATTTCGGATTAAAAGACTGTTCATTCGTAATTATCAAAGAGGCTTTGTCAAGACAGAAAACTGCCTAACTGTGAATGAACTTCAAAACAAATATGATAATTATTCGAAAATTTTAGAAACTCACTATACTGCTCAATATTATTTAATTAAATAAGTAATCTCATAAACTTTCTCGCATTTGCGAATCTAATCAAAATTGTAATACACAATCCAAACATGATAGTCATTTACTGTGGACAGGGTTAAGTGCAAATGTGTAAGTCACACACATTCATCGAGAGCTAGAAATAACACTAGCTGATTGTCTGTTTTTTTCTAAGTAGATAGCTGATTGAAGGTTGATTGCTTAAATAAATTAGCGATTATTTTACTTCAGTGACTTTCTACAGCTGTTAGGAGTTTAGAACTTGATATAGCACTTCTGAAACAATAAGTCGTTTTCATTTTATACATTCACTGTAAATTGAAGGCAAATTAAGTTTCCTTCTGAATGTTAGAAGTTCATTTACGCACACGGAACTCGAACCAATGTCCTTTGGTCTCGCGTGTGAACCCATAACCTCTAGACCACTGAGCCGTCACCCAACGATTTTAATATCTAACTTCAACCGAGCTTGCGCAAACCTTCATTTATTGTTTAATGTGGATAACTGTCTCCACCAGACACATATTGGACTCTACTGGTCACGGCTTCTCACAAGAACTCCAGGAATTCTATCATGAACCTAGTCACTAGTGAACACATGATCATTTTATGGGAATCTGGAAAATGAACAACTTGAAATAACTCTCAATAATGCTCCCGTTAATATAACAATACGTAATCTCAGTGAAATACCCTTATTATTATTATTATTATTATTATTATTATTATTATTATTATTATTATTATTATTATTATTATTATTATTATTATTATTATTATTATTATTATTATATTCTTCAATCATATTCGGTTACTATACATAATTTTACGGTTAATCAGACCTACCAAATAAATGAAAAATCTGAAGCAGGAAGGTTTAATTATTTAATCGGATTACAATTTATACAAATCATAAGTATATATTTATACGATTGTCCTTCTGACCCAGACAAGAACAAGATAAAACCTCGACCAGGTGAACAGTTAGCTTTTTATAATAGCATGCCTTGTTCATGATCTCTCAACTACTGTCTGACCTGTAAACATCACGTAAGATTTAGTAAATTGAACTTGTAACTAGGCTTAACAACAGAATTTGACTAAGTTACAGATATAGCATGTATTTTACATGAAGGTAATTGGTAATTAAACTTTTTCGTCTCTTTATCAGGCTATATATATATATTCCTCATGGTACATTTATCATATTTCACTGAAACTAAGCAGAAAGATTGACTCAACTTGGGAAATATCGACTACTAGACTTCTACTTAATGGTTTGAAAGTACTGAAATTCTCATGAGACCTCAAGATTATGTTTTTTCTTGCGTATGTAGTCTTAGTTGCACACTACTACTAGCATATCATCGGCTGATACAAATACTTTTTAGCTCTCTTACTCTGAAAGTTTGACTAGTTATTAGTATACGGAAAAGTAAAGATTGTTGCATTTTACAGTCTACACTATAAACTGATCTTATTTACATAACCATTTAAAACCAGGAAACACTGAACAGCTGTTTGACCATAATATAGGACTCTTTAGTAGTGTACATCAACGACTCAATCGAAGATCTGTTGATTTTTTGAAATTTGTGTACGACTGCAGCCTATTGTAATTTTTTAATAATGTACAAATGACAATCTTTTAATACGGAGAAAACTAATGAGAACTCGACAGACCGGGAGTCTAACATACAACAACACTGCAAAGTTAATAATCCATGTATCAATAGAATATAGAAAAGATAGGAATTAAGAACAGCTTTATATTTCTAAAAAAAAGCCAAAACTGAAATAGAGCAACTTTGTCTATATCGCATAATCCAATGACATTGGGACGCGCAACAGTTAGCGAACTAAGAGTAATAACGTCCAGTTAGGTAACAATAAAGTTAATTGAGGAAATATGAATCAGAGAATGCTATCAAAGTCATCCTTCAACTAACGAAAGAAGTAAACATATAATAATAATAATAGTAATAATAATAATAAAGCCAGATAGCTTAATGTCTACCATAGCAAAATCAAGTTAAGACCCTCAGCCACTGATTAAATCTCTTACTGTCTTTATGTAAAGGATCCAAGTGAACAATTTAATGAATTATCAATGCTTTTTTCTGGTTTGCACTCTGATCATAAATTATTTTTGCCGTAATATGTAGCTAAAATCTGCTTACTTCAAAAATTTCTTTTTCATAGTATCATGACGTAACGTTTAATGATTGTCTCTTTTTTGTGTTTGAACAACCTGAGTATTGATATATTCGTCTACTGTTTCTTTCAGCTTACTAGTAATTACACTGAAAAATAAACACAACTCTAATAACATGTGTTATCGTTTATCATAATTTCTGTAAGATTATCGACATCAGTTGAGTGAAAAACATTACTATTGTTATCACTGACTTGAATGGAAGAAGTTTACCATAGTTTCCATATACATTCGTTAAAAATTGACAAAAATCAAAAGTCTTGTTCAAATAGGTTATTAACCTTTTTGAGACAGATGAATGTTGTAGAAAAATATATTCATAACTTTCAGCGTATGGGTAGAGTGAATTACACTACTTATTACTCCGTTAGACAATCATATATGTATAGAAAAACAATTCATTGGATAGAAGACTAACTGAAATTTCAAATATAAACCATTGTGTACCATCGAAGTGATTTAAAGGCACCTGAGAGCGTAAAACTCATGAGACTTGGAAGTCCTGAGATTAATTTCTAACGAAGTTATAAATAGCCATTGCTGGCGGTTACTCATACTAGGGACAAAATAACTGTTCAGTGTTCTGTGGTTGGTTAGTTAAAGTCATTCCGTGATGTTCACTACTTTTAAATTGAACAATTTCCAAACAAACATTTTTGATTTTAATAACTGAAAGTGGCATAAAAAGTGATAACTTGAAATGTATGAGAGGAAAAAATGCACGCTGAAATGTTTCATGGAAATCCTGTATAGATTTCTTCATAAACTGATGTGAATTATAAAGTATTCTTACTAAATATATGTAAATAATGGTGCATAGAAATGAAGCAACTGTAAGTTGAGAAAATAAAAGAAACATTTTTGGAGTGAAAGTAAATTAGTGTGAAATTCATTCGTCTTTCGAAACATAAAGAAAAAGTTATGTAAATAAAAAAATCTTAACCATAAAATTTAGTCTGAGAATAACACGAAAACATTTGAAAACTTTATAAGTCGATTGTTTTCTCAACTTAGAACACACAATGCAGACAAGTAATAAACACGAAAGAAAAGAGGATTTTCTGAACTTTACAATTCTTCACATATAAACATTCTCAGCTGATATCAGTTTTTCATGCCAACAATCTGGAAAAGTCTATTCTTCCGAAATGCTTATATATATATATAATGTATATCAAAGCTATTAATAAGAAAACGATGTACATGAAAGTATGCTTATTTCACTGAATGCTAAAAGTCTACATTAATAAGAGAAAAAACTCTAATTAAAAATCCTTATCAAAACACATTCCTTCCTTTGATTTTCTCTATTCAATATAGCCTGTTGTCACTATGGTTGCGTTTTTCTTTTTAATATTCTTAAAAGACTGATTGTAAAATACACAACATTTAGAGATAGTATATAAATACTAAAGAAAATATAATGTTACCTTTTATCGGAAAAAGGTCAACTGGAACTTATTCTATGCACGTATTAAGAATGTAATTATTTCTAATATCTTGAATTATTTTCCTTTTAATTTGACGTCTGTATGTTAGGTTTTTGTATTTTAAAAGAACAACAATTTATTATTATTATTATTATTATTATTATTATTAGTAGTAGTAGTAGTAGTAGTAGTATTTTTGTTATGAAGTAAACAAAAATTTAAACAAACCAATTGTAACCAATGTTGAATGATGAAATGATAACAATACGCATTCAATAATATGAATTATTAACTAAACTATTATTGTTGTCTAATATTTAAATATTATTTTAAAGAGTATAAGCATATAAAGAGCATTTATTCATTGTATGAAAGTAATTCACTGAAAAAAAAGAAGGTAAAAACATTCAATAATTATAATTTTCTGATAATAGGGCAAATTGATTAAAGGTGATGAATCAATTTTAAATAATTTACGAAGTGATAGAAATATACATCTCTGTCCACATTGTAACACTTTACGTCAATTTATCCAAGATGGAAAATCAATGAGATGAAGATTAAGAGAGTTAATATGATATTAACATCAATAACAGTAAGAAATCTCAAATAGTAAATATTGCGAAAAGACCGAATGTATCAAAGAATTAGAAGTAAGACATAATCCTTAAACTGAACAGTTAGAAAAATAATTGATTTTCATCCACATTACTAATGGTCATCAACTACTACCTATCATGAGTACCTAGCAAACTGTCATCACCTTCTTTCCTTCCAACCTATGAGATCGAACTATAAACTTTTAAAAATATTTTTCAATAAAAAAAAGAACACAATAAAAGCAAAGGAGAAAATGTACAATTTTCCACTAGCTAAAATTATTTATAATTTTAACATATGAATTGTGAATTAATTAAACGTATTTTTAATGAAAGTACAACACATATACACATTACCTCTGATATACTGGCTAATCGAAAACTATCCACTTCACCATCAGAGCTAACAGGGATAAAATCTGGCGGTAATTCCAGATCGAAACAATATTCAATTTGTGGGCAAACACCGCGCTCATCTTCAAAAATATAACTGATTTAAAGAAAACGGAATTCAAATAAAAACAGGATAATTTCGTCGATTTTTTAGGAGAATTGGAATAGTCTAATTCAATAGTAAACCTAGAGATCATATTGAGGTTGATGAGTAGTGAACAAGAAAATGTTAAATAATTCAGCAAAATGTAAATTTGAGCTAAAACGAACCATACTGGACATGAAAAGTAAATAAAATACTATACAAGAATAACATCAATTAGCTCTTAAAATCGATTGTACATAATTAGAAGCAGAATCCAGATTCTTGACAGTAAGTTAGCGGAAATCTTGCAACATAGATTAAATGTTTGCATATACTCATCTGCGGAACATATATTTATGAACATGAGTAATCTAATGCCGTCAGTCGAGGAGTAAGGGCACATCACATATGATGATACAGTTAAAAACTACCACTGAAGCGTAAATAATTCCTACGTAACTCAGGTGAAATATGACACAGAAAATAAAGTTACTGACTTGAGTCCTAATCAGACTCTTCTAGTAACCATGCATTAGTGAAATTACTACGGAGGTATTTAAAAAAACAGTAGTGATTAACCATAAGTTTGCTATAACTATTTCGTTTCATTATATGATTAACAATCTTTCAAAAAAATTAACACGACAATGAAGTCACTACCAATGATGGTAATAAGATAACGCATGAAAATTCAGATTAAAGAGAATCATATTCATTTTATCAACTGTATTTCATAAATTCCTATAGGTTCTGTATACTAAAATATGTAATATACTTGAATATGTAAGGACTTTCTCAAATATCCAGTGGCTTAATAAACAGAAACAGAAGTGAGCTCCAACATATGACCGAAGTAGTCGTTCAGTTAGTTAGTAATAATCAACACAGAGCCTGTATTGTTCTACGTTGCCATAACACAGTAGAAATACGAGATGAAAATAACAAGATAAGTAATTACAATGATCGAAATAATAGAGTAGCAATGGTAATAAGAAACAATAAATATTGAGAATATAATTCTAAAAGACAGAATGGAAAGGTATGTATGAAAGAGTATCAGAATTCAAGATAAATAGTGAATGCATTTACATCATTGTGAACGATTCTTAAACATTACACAGCTTTTTAAATAAATCAGTAGTTTTTAAGGTATTTATAATAACTTCTACAGCAAGTGGAGTGAAATTCCATTTGTGAAATTACTACATCTGATTAGTTTAAGTAAGCAAACATTCTTCAAAAGAAAAAGATAAGTTCAATAAATTTATTAATAAGTTATAATAAAATTAATTGGTCAATTTAAAAGTTAATTTAACGAAATATGGTTAGATAGTAACACTCTAACCTTCTAAATTTTATAGCATAGTAGTTACAAAAGGGATAAATCATTAACAAAAAAAATATATAATCCAGTTTATTTGAAAGAATTTTGTGGAGAATATTTTAATTTGTAGATAGTATTAGTTGTTAATCGATCTCACATATAGTACAGTTGAAAACCAGAGAGCATTGGAGAACTGTTTCGAACTAATGTGAAACTTCACACGATGCACTCATGACCTCATAAAGGATTAAACCTGGTTATTGCTGGGTCTTGATAGATAAGCATTTGTTGTGAGATTTGAAACTCCCTGGTTTGGTCTTTCATGAGGTTGTGAGTGAGGAATGGCGAGAAGTTTCATATCAGGAAGAAACAGATTTTAAGTGCTCTCAGGTTTTCAACAGTGCACCGATAAGATCAATCTGTGATAAATACATAAAAACATTACCCAGTTTAATTTGAAATACTATTCCCATTTTTACAACGTTAACCAGATTTTAAACAATTAAATTTCGCATTTAAATCCTTCTTCGGTTTATTTAGCCAGATGATATCATTAGTTCTACAATTACATCAAAAGGTATGGGGATCAAAGTCAAGTTATGCAAATGTTTCCATGTATACTGATTTTCTAATATACGCAAACTTAGAAGGATAAGCTTTATACAATAATTTTGTTATTATCCAGTAATGATGTGAACAGAGAAACGAAGAAGCCATGACAAACAACGGAAGCTATTTCGGAGACGCTATTTCACTTAATTAAAAGTTTGCAAAATACTAACATTTAGTTTTGCCCCTAGTTTATTCTATAAACCATAAGCTTTCGTTTGATGTATGATTCAATGACATATCCTTTTCTGTTCAAAATCTGTTGTAACTTAGACATGACCTTTGGTACCTTATTTTAACTCCTTAATGCCCAGTTTGGATATGATTGTATCTTTCTAATTGTTTGTGCACTTTAGTCATGTTGATCATCTATTTATTCATGTACCTTTTTACAATAGTCTGAATCGGGTATAAACCGAGTAGTGTTCCAGCTGATTTGGCTTCTCTCTCGTGCGCTTGTCAACCAATCAAGCGATAAAATGGTTCCCGTCTCTCTCCAAGGCCATTAGTCTCAAGTCGGACTCAAGCATTTTCTAGCCTCAAGGTTAACCTCAGTTAGCCTATCGTATCAAGGCCTTAACTTAGTACCCGTATATTATTAGGTGGACATCAATGAGATAACAAGTAATGTTCAAGTCTCTCAATTTGTCTGACTAGTTAAAACATAAAATCAGCCAGTCGTAAGCAATGTAGAACCTGCCACACTTGTGCATCGGTTCAAGCTAACACACCATATCAGTATAGAGAGATGGAGTTGTCACAATAAATCCAAGATAGGTAAAATTAGTAATACTTTAAGTGGTGGCATAAAAGATAAAGCAAAAACAATTTGAACTCCCTGGAAAGTTAGAATCTAAAGTAAAAAGTGTTTCAGCTAATATACCTCGGCTTGGTCAACAAGTTTGGTAAGCTTGACTTCTACATCAAAGTTAAAGTTACGATCGGGAATAATATATTTTTTGACTTATTTATTAACACCTGCAAGAAAACAATCTTTCACAGCGTAAAATATAGGGTAAGAAATAAAAGAGAGATGAATAAAAACGGTTAGAGATAAAATATATATTAGTAACATCCTTACTATTCTTATTTCGCTGTTCAAGGCGATCAGAAGCAACAATCCAAGCATGTTTGGGATGGATTACTCTTCTTCTAAATGTAAAATATTGCTTCAGGACTGTTCTGAATCAACGACTGAACTAATAATAGGGAATGAAGCAGTTGAGAAAGTCGACCACGTCACTTATCTTGGAAGTCTCATCAACCCTGGTGGTCTTGTGCCTGGCAAAATCTTGGCATGGACTCAGATGGCCCGGCTGGGCGCTTGCCAACTTGCATGAGTTGTGGCTTAGGCGAAATGTTTCCCGTGCGCGTGTGTATTTGTTTCTCTCATTCACTCACGAAGGCTATTTTCACATTATCATACAGATATAATGCGGGAAAAAATTGTGATTATTCACAGAACTCTTTCCTATTCTTTTCATATCCAAAAATATATTATTACTTGATTTAGTTATCTCACAACAGTATAATGTGTTTCCGGATTCCTCACACTTCTGTGTAATGCTTCAAAATATCGGTTTCTTCTAACTGGGTTCTTTTTAATATATTAATGGAATTAAAGCGAAACTTATGTACAGCCTATTATATATATATATATATATATATATATATATATATACAAACGAATCCTCTGGTTAGTACATTGACTGACCTTGAGATTTGACCTTCTTTGATCAATTATTATTAGTCAATATGATCATATCCTTAAGGTTAGAAATTTAGGTCAGTAAAAATAAAATAAAAATACCAGAAAAATCGGATGACCTAGAAAGGGAAACGAATAAGCAAAGTCAGGATGATATTCGTACTGCGCAATGATTTAAAACGATTCAGTCGCAAGATTACCATGAAACACTACTTTTTAGCCAATTGGTAGAAAAAAATATTTATTGTCAATTAGGATAATACGGTTTATTAAGTCGGATAACAACAATAGTAATAATATCAATTATTATCATTAATTTTAAAAAAAAACTAATGGCAACTAGAACATTTGTTAACCAATTAGATTGCTGAAACATTTTTAAAGTTTATTGATTGGAGAATTAGTACTGGTCACATTCAAAGTGGATTACATTACAAGCTAAATAAGCATTGAAAACTAGAATAGGGTGAAATGTTCTTCTGTATCTATACCATTATAGGGACTAATCGTTAATATGAACACAATTCCAAATATAATTGAAACTATGCCTTTCAGGCACAATGAAGAGATTATTATCTATTGAACTATTGAATTTAATTCTGATGGCTGAAATTTTTTTGAAATCAAATAATTTCCGTACCATCATAACTTAACCTCTTTTAGGAAGGATGTCATTAGTTTAGCGAATCTCTACAGTTGTCCATGAAATCAATAACTTGAGTATTTTAAGCTGAAACTGTCAATGGTGAAATTGTTTCTAGTTATCTCAACTAAAATATTCGAAATATTCAAACCAATAGAAGATGTAAATGTTAGTATATTAATATTTTGAATTATCATTTATGTATAACAAAACAATATGGTTTAAAATCATACAAAGACTATTATAAGTAACCTTAACTAAGACATTATACTTAAGAACAATGACCGATAGGTTTTATCAGTTAGATTGACATTAAAACCGACACACTCCCCCCCTCCGGTACATGGGTCAGATAACTTGACACAAAATTGGAAATTGGCAAGAACCGGTAAACATTAGAAAAACGAACAGGCAAATTATGCACTATTCATCAGCTGACTAGTTCACTTTATTCATAATGACATATTATAATGGTACATACACAAAAAATTAAGGTAATTTTAAAAGGCAAATACAAATTAAAATAAATACATCAATATATTATAAGACTTTAATAAATTGGAGTTACTTCGAGTTATTACAAATTATACACATGACTTTACAAATGTGTTTGTTACTTGACCTTAAGAATTGAATATCAGTGTAAATTTATACTTTAGAACTTATAAGATACTTCGAATAACAATAACGGTAATGAGTGATAATAATAATAATAATAATAATAATAATAATAATAATAAAAGAGCTAATAGCGAAGATTAAATAACACGAGGGTTTGAAAGCAAGTGATCTGTTTCCAGTCATGACCACAAATACATGAAAAGGATTATGGTAATAAGGCGATGATGACGTAATCGACACATCTGTGATACCGTTAAAGTAATTTAACGACTACTTTACGATAGATTAAGGTTGTTGCTACAGGATCACGTTTATAGCGCATGTGTGACTATATGTAATTCTGAAAACATCAATCATTAAAATTCTTTAGAGGTACTATCATTTTATCGGTGTATATAACTTACTGACTGGAATAATTATATTTCCTCGGTAGAATTGGCGTTAGTTTGAAATAAATGTTGCTAACCTCCTCAAATATATAAGTAAAGAGCCTGATTATAGTTCAAGTTAAGTCTGACCGTATCATTATAACTTCTAAAACAATGTTTCATATTTAAATTTATTGAATTAGGTTAGTGAACACAGTATCTATCGATGCTAAGAGATGATCATAAGAGAGGTAGAAATAATAAGTCGACATATAATTTTTTTGACTGTACTAACATGTGAATACAGTGATATAGTAGCTGCCTATCTAACTAATAAAATGTTTACACACAGACAATTGATGATAGGATAGATAATAGAAGGACCTGTATAAGCAAGAAATCTTAAACTAAGATAAACGAATATTTAGTCACTTCTAGTATTTTATTTATTTATTTAATAATAGCTTATCTCGAATTTACTCATCTCTTACGATCAACCGGTAACACATCCGAAATCTTACTCCACTAGCTTCAGTAATTAGATTTATTTTTAACTCACGCTTGTTTTATTGCAAACTTTTGTCGGTTGCATTCATTAATAAAAGTAGGTACATCCTCTTATGGGCTTCCACAGAGTTGTCGACCCACTTTTTCTGTTATTTTTCAAATTTTTCTAACATAAGCAGCTCATCATTTTCCTGCTCTCCCCTAAGCGCACAATGTCACTTCAGGCTGAACAGAAACCTACAAAAGGTTAAGCTTTATATAAAAATACAATCAGTTTCATGCATAAGAAACCTAGTTGATAGAAAACGATCAACACTTGGCATTAATTAGGGGAACATGACACTATTCATTACACAGTAACTGATCAATCCAAATAATTCAGTCCCATGGGAAATAAATGATAACCCGAATAACTATGGTAATGTATCCAATGTAACGCTGCATGATCCAGGTTTGGAAGTTACATACAACATCAGTTCCGTCAACACTACAAGTACACCTTGCTGACGAGGAGTACAAGCTAGAATGAAACTTAGGTCTAATCTAGTGTTTCCTGTCGACTATCTCCAACGACCTGATATTCAAACTATCTGGGTCTTTTTTTAAATAAATAAAAAGTTAAGAAAACTAAAATATTACGAAGTTATTCAGTAAAAAAATATTTTCATCGATAAACTAAATAAAATGTAATATTCTAATTCAAAATTAGTTTTTACACTATATAAATACAACTTACCTGATTTGATTTACAAGGGTTAGTTTACCAAGCATATGCTCTGGTACACTTGCTTCCTCTTGACACTCTTTACGAGCACATTCCATTACATCTAGACCATATGTTAAACCTCCAGCAGCCTGAATGTAAGTTCGGAAAACAACAAAAAAGTGTTATGTTATCCTCAAATTAAGTAGATTAAATCTGGTTACTTGTAAATGGGTTGTTTACATCTAGAAAATGAAATTTCAAATATTTTTCGGAAAAAAGTTATCCTTTCATATAGTTCAGTTCAAATGTATTGAATAAGTTTTTTTATTACCCTCTTTATGAATTAGAAAAATCTGTATCCACATTTGCTCATAATTCATAATGGATAATAAAACCGATAAGTAGTCACCAAAAATACTAATATGTAGATAGGTAGATAAATAGATGGATATATCTTTCTACAATACGTCGCTATTATAATTTAACTCATTTTAAATGGTGAAGAAAACTAGACATCTACTTTTAAATAAAACTCTTGTATTTTGTTTGATGTAAAAAACATTCTGAACTGTGTTAGATGAAATATTTTTAGAAATTTTCTAACACCATTTAAACAATGACCGTTGTATAAAGATGGGCCATAAAACGACTATGTAATGCATTTTTACCGATATTTCAAAACTGGATAACCAAGAATAGAGGTAATACATTTTCGAAACAAAATAATTAATCCATATGCATGAAATTCAGTGATCAGTTAAAGTCCAACAACAAAACTACGAAACTTAGTTTTCGACTATGAATTCGAACTCCTAAAATTACATCACACTTAGGTTGTTACAACTTCAGTCTACTCAATCACTATTAGAATGGAAAAAAATCTCGAAGATTTTATCAGAATATGTAAAAAAAACTCGAGTTTATCATCACATGAAACTGTTATGCAATTAGTTAGTAATTTCTTACCTAATCATATACGGTTATGATAAGTCTCTACGTCACGCATAAAACTATTGACTTTTTATGGAAATACTCAATAAATCAATCTTCCCAAAAAAATGTTAAAGAACGTTCAAAAAAGTTTAATCTCTCAAATTCATGACTACATTCCTTTTTGCAGATACTTTCCCATCAGGTGCAAAATTTTGCTTTAAGATTGGATTACGCCAGCACCCGAATTAACGATAGGAAATGAGGTAGTTGAGTGTATTGACCACTTCACTTATTTTGGGAATCTCACCAGTCATGATGGGTTAGTTCCTGACGAAATCTCGGTATGGATTCAGAAAGCCGGATTGGCTATTACCAAATTACATCGCCTGTGGCATAGGTGAGATATCTGTCTGTCAACCAAAAACGAGCTTACCGAGCAACGGTTCTCTCCGTTCTACTTCAAGGGTATGAAACATGGTCAGTAAAAATAGATGAGTCATAGACAATTGGATTGAGCCATGTTTACAAGTATAAAGTATCTGGTCGGGTTGTACGTCATTATCGTAACCAGTGGTTGGAGACGTGGAATGACATGGCTGAAAATCGTTTGTAATGGCACAGATGGATCCATTCTTTGTCTTCCTCCAGATCCTAAGCTTATGAATTCCTCATAGTTTTGTTTACTTCACTAATTTATATTTTCTTGGATCGTATCTTTAATGTGTAATCTTTTTTACTACCATTAATACTGCTCATACGTCTACTGCTCTATGAATAACCCTAATAATTTCATATCGCTGTGCTGATGATGTATGAAAATGTAAACCAATGTACACATGTACGAGGTTCTACGTTGTGTTTGGCTGACTGTAGATAGTTTTGAATTAGTTTAATTATTAATCATTTATATTATTCACTATATTCAGATATTAATCTAATAACGAGTAGTAAAACAAAAATATTTGCTTTTTGTAAAGGATTTTGTTTTCCTATTGGTAATGACAAGGACCGTGACTGGTCATTTGCAAGTGGTGTATGTGCATCATAGTGGATTGCCTCCGTACTGTCACATAGTCGATTAGTTTTAACAAAATTGGGTTGTGGCTAGCATTGGAATCAAGGAAGTGTGTTTCGTCCTATTTGGAACTTGCCAACTGGATATGTACCTGCACCCCAGAATTGATGCTCACATTACGGTTCAAACCCGGTAATCTTCTGCCTCTAACTTCAAGGGGTTATACACTGAACTAATAAATTTATATAAGCTGAAACATACTTCCTGGATTCCAGCGCTAGCCAATAACGAATATTTACTAAAAACATGTGTTTATAATCTAGAGCATTAAGACATATACACACCGTGAAAATGAACAATATAACCAAATGAATACTATGATTATTGATTTGACACTAATTGCTAAACATATAGAATATATTTGAAGGCTTTGTAAAATTATTAATTGTATCTAATAAAAAGAAAAGTCGTTTGTTGGTCGATTTGAGTAGAGGATAACCTTGTTAGATGTTGTTGTTGTCATCAACCTATAAAATTTAGCACAACAAAATTTCACACAATATATTACGGTGGAAAATAATAAAGAAAATTATGAATTATGCATGAAAAAGTATGCAATCCATGTATATTTATAAAATATTCAACCAGTTATTGAAATACTTTGTAATAATTAGTCAGTAATTACTGTTGAGACAATTAAGTGGCTAGAGAAATCTAATTACTTTTACTCAATATAGTGAAACAGGGTGATCGTATTAATTAGACTTGAGTGTCTTGACGTTTCGGATTATATATATAGGCCCTAGAAATGTAAGTTACTAAAAAATATAATTTACTGTATGATTACAAATACTGAGTTGATAAGTACAGGTTTAAGTGATAACCATTAGTTGCAAGAGATAGTCAGTGCTCAAAAAGTGACCTACCTGTTTTATTTAAGATAGTTTTTTTGACAGTGTACTAAATACAAAATATCATAAAATATTTAAATCTATTTAACTTTAACAAACTCTGCCTGTAGGACTTCTAGGGCTACTGTCGGTCCCAAAGGTTGGGCATGGAGTCAACAACCCCATATCGTAGAAAGTAACCTTACTCAAAAACGTTAACCAAAATGAACAATTTAAACTCTATTCTGAGTTGAAGGATCTTCATTCAGAGGAATTATGACGCCTCAAGGTGAAAGCCGAGACTCTTCGGAAGTCACGAGGCCGATACCCCTTCTAACAACCAGAGAGACATACATGAAATGTCCGGACAATGTGGGAGACCGGGAGGACTATTCGAATAGCTACAAAATGAGGAGATACAACTTGATGGTGCTCGGAATCAGTGAAATACGTCGGACTCAAGCTGGACAGAAAAGGGTGAATTCAGGGAAGATGTTGCTGTACTCCGGTCATGAAGAGAAAAATATTTCACACACTTAGGGAGTTGTTCTGATACTGTCCAAACAAGTACGAAATGCACTTATAGGATGGGAATCGCATGAACCCAGAATCATCAAAGCATTATTCAAAACAAAGAAGGAGGGAATCATAATGAGTGTTATTCAGTGTTATGCATCTACCAATGATAGCAACAACGACAATAGAGATCAATTTTATGAAAAGCCCCAATCGATGATAGCGAAGTGTCCAGGAAAAGACCTGATCATCTTGATGGGAGACCTAAACGACAATGTTGGAACACACAACACTGGATATGAAGATACCATGGGACAACATGGACTGAGAGAGAAAAAAATAAAAATGGTGAGAGATTTGCAAACCTAGGTGCATTCAACAAATTGGTTTTAGCTCGCACAATATTCCCACACAAATGCATACACAAAGCCATATGCATCTCACCGGATCACATAACGAGGAACCAGATCGATCATATTTATATCAATAAAAAATTCAATAGGATTATGGAAGATGTGAGAACCAGGAGAGGAGCTGACAGCTTCAGATCACCATCTGGTTATGGTCAAGATGAAACTGAATCTAAAGAAACACTAAACAGCTGGGAAGACAGTGGTACGAAGGTTCAATACAGCCTTCTTACGAGATACTGTCAAATTCAACGAATTCAAGATAACTCTCAACAACAGGTTCCAGGTCTTACACGATCTACTGTAAGAAGAAGAAACTACGATGGGAGACAACTGAAAAAGGATCAAATAAGAATTAACTTCAATGTGTCAGGAGGTGCTGTGTCGCAAGCAGCATCATCATAAGGAATGGATCTCTATTTATACCCCGGGCAAGATTCAAGAGAGGAAGAACAGAAGACGGCAATTAATAACAGTCGAACAAGAGCAGAGAAGGTCAAGGCACAAGCTGAATACACATAAGCAGACAAGCAAGTGAAGAAGAGCACTAGAATCGACAAGCAGAAACATGTGGAAGAGCTAGCAACGACAACGAAAAATTCTTCAAGAGAAGGGAATATAAGACAGTTATATGATACAACGAAGAAACTAACAGGAAAGTAAAGTAAACCAGAGACTGGTCAAGGACAAAGAAAGCAGGACAATAACTCAGATTCAAAAGCAGAGGAACAGATAGGTGGAACACTTCAAGGAACTCTTTAGTAGGCCAGCTTCACTGAATCCACCGAACATCGAAGCAACACACACAGACCCTCCTATAGATGTCAATCCACCAAAGATCAGAGAAATCAGGATGGTCATCAGATAAATCAAGCGTGAGAAAGCAGCGGGACCTGACAATATACCAGTTGAAGCAATGAAGTCAGACATAGAAGCAATTGCAAAAATGCTCCGTGTTCTATTCAGGAAGATTTAGGAGAAAGAACAAGTGTCGATAGACTGAAAAGAAGGATACCTCACCAAGATGCAAAAGAAAGGAAATCTGAGCAAATACGAGAACTACAGAGGCACCAAACTATTAACAGTACCAGGAAAGGTTTTCAACAAAGTGTTGCTGAACCAGATGAAAGACTCAGTAGACGCCCAACTTCGAGATCAACAGGCTGGATTCTCTAAGGATCGGTCATGCACAAACCACATCACTAAGAACCACCGTTGAACAATCATACACATAGTTCCCCTTATTATCTCAAAGAGAGAAAGAAAAAAGATTGGTGCAGAATAATATGAACTAATTTTATTTCGTAGCTACATCATGATATATATATTCATCTTTAATCACCCTCTTATGTATAAGTATGTCAATATCTGTAATAACGTTGATTTTCAAATATTTTAGGTCGTAAGCAGATGATGAGAACCTAACGAAATAAAATGAATTCATATTATTATGCACAAATCTTCATTTTTTCTCTCTTTAAGTTGAACAATCAATTGAATGGAACTCGTCACTGTACATCAAGTTCTTTGACTATGAGAATGCGTTTGACAATGTGGATAGGGAAACCTTATGGAACCTTCTTCGGCACCACGGTGTACCTGAGAAAATCATCATCATCATCGGGAATTCATATGATAGACTACACTGCAAAGTGGTGCATGAAGTACAGGTGACAGACGCATTCTAAGTGAGGACCGGAGTAAAACAAGGCTGCTTACTCTCTCTGACTTTTTATTTCTTCTGGTGGTTGACTGGATCATGAAGACCTCCACATCTGACGGAAAGCACAGAATACAATCGAAAGCTTGCATGCAACTAGACGATTCAGACTTCGCAGATGGCCTGGCTATTCTATCCCATACACACGAACAAATTCAGGTTAAGTCAACTAGTGTAGCACAAACCTCTGCATCAGCAGGCCTCAACATACACAAGTAAATAATCCAAGATCGTGAAATACAACACGGAGAGCATCAATGACATCACATTTGATGAAGCTCTGTAACATGTGGGGACTTGCACGTACCTGGTGAGCATCATCGATAAACAAGGAGCGTCCGATGCAAACGTAAAGGCAAGGATTGGTAAAGCAAGGGCCACAATCCTACAACTGAACATACGGAACTCAAAACAACTGTCAATTAATATAAAAGTCAGAATCTTCAATCAGAACGTCAATACAGTTCTACTATAAGGTGAGACTTGGAGACCTACCATAAACATAATCAAAAGGTACAACTATTTATAAATAGTTGTTTACTCAAGATACTCAATGTCCATTGACCGGATACCATCAGCAACAACCTTTTATGGGAGAAAACAAACCAGATCCCAGCTGAATAGGAAATTAGAAAAGACATTGGTGGCATACATTACCGAAGTCACCAAACCGCATCACAAGGACTGTAATAACTTGGAATCCTGAAGGTAAACGGAAAAGAGGAAGGCTAAAGAACACTGTCGGGGATTGAAAGCAGACATGAAGAAGATGAATAGAAACTGGGAAAAACTGGAAAGGATTGTCCAGGACAGATCTGGATGGAGAATGCTGGTGGGTGACCTATGCTCCCCCGTGAGGGGTAACAAGAGCAAGTAAGTAACTTTAAAACCACGCTTTACACCAAAACATTTGAAGCGATTGAAATATTTTTAGCTCAGTTACCAAGTACAAATTAGTGTACTTGACTCCGAGCCAGATCGTTCTAACCAAAGTAGGTGAGATAGGACTCTAATCCGCGAATCATTAGCGGAAAAATTCTAGAAACCTAAACTACTGGGGCACGGCTCCATAACAGAATGATGTAGTGTCATGAACCAACAGTTACATAATCAATTTAAAATATTGTACTAACGATAGGATTGGGCTGTCGAGAGATAAAAATATAATTTATATACTATATACTATATATATATATATATATATATTCAATTACCATATTATCGAGCATTCCAGGAGAGGTAGGTTTGTTTATTGATCGTAAACCGAGCCACATAAAAACATTGTCCGGACCAATTTGAGCGAGTGAATTAGAATCGTTGGAATTACGTGAGCTGCCATTAACGATTCGATCAGACTTTCTAGAGTAGTTGTATCGATTTGAGAAAAAACCATTTACATGTACACCATATCGTGTAATACCCAGAAGACTCGATGCTGAACGTTCAATTTTTAATAATACTTTTTCACGGTTATGAACGTAAACGCCATAGTCCTATTTTAAAATCAATAAATCAATAACCGTTTACACACTTCTGATAATAACAACAAAATATTTATGGAGATATGTTGGCGAAATTCAAGAAGGCACTATTTTGAATAAGTACTCATATGATTTATCTCAATATAAGGTTACTAAACTGATACTATTTAACTACCTTATCGATTAAAATGCTGAGACTAATTAGCTACAGTTAGTCTATTAATGTAATTTCACACGGTTGTCTATTAATCAAATATCTAGGCAGTAATGCACCTATGATGCTTAAATCCACATTTGCAAGCTGTGGGAACTTCATTAAATGCCTCGAATTTAAATATCTAATAATGTTCAGATAAAATCATATAATTCATGTAAAGCTGTAACCTAGATGTTTAAGCAGCTAACTTTTATCTACTGTGTCAGGAATTCGACACTTATTTCATCCGCTATAAATGGACAAACCAAATATTTTTTTAACTTTTCAAACAACGGGGCTTCAACCCAGTTTTGAAGCATGATAGTAGTTTAGCAGTAATTATATAATTTTCAATAAGTATCGTTATATTATAGCACAGAACATTAATTTTGTTAAAAGTAAAAACATAAGTCAAAGGCCCTTTTCAAAGTAATTTTCTAGAAAGACAAGTAATTGGAAGATAAATCACAATACCTAATAAGTGAAACTTTGAATTATGATAGAATAGTAAGAAATAAGCATATAGCAGACTACTCAAAATTAATAGCTTACATGGATCATTTAATATTCTGCATTAATAACGTACAGAATGACTATATGTTTTGTAGTGACTGAATTTCGATTTCATTAAAATCGACATAACAACTACGCGAAATGATTATGAATTCAAATACAAGTGATGTGATTACAAATTTATTTATTTCTTACGAAACTGAGTCCGAACGATCCAGGCATAAAGTAATTCATAGTTCATAAAAAGTAGAAAGAACGAGAAAGTGTATATCACATAAAACTTCAGTGAAAGAAACCACAAACCCAATGGTTTAGTATCACTACATATCAATGATAACCAACCAATAAGTGGTGAACCACACAGTTAGGTAATCGATTGACCTACCTTATAAAGGTCTGGTGATTAAAATAAAATGGAATCACCATAGGAAACCTCAGGTCATACTAAGAATAGACTAAAGAAGTCGACAGGTTACAAAAAGTCTTTACCGAAGACTATAATTGTTCTGAAATATTTGTTCAATCTTTCTGAGGTATCTCAGGCCTATAAAATTAAAAAAGAGCAACAAGAGCATCTGGAACAAATAACTCACCTCGTTTCTCCATCCTTTTAGAGCCTTGAAAGGACTTGTGGTCCGCAAATCTTGCATCACTTCTGCCACTGCATTGCTGCGGTCATTCACATTTATCATGGCCTGATGCACTGTAATACAATGATCACCGTGTTGCGGATGAGAAATCTTCACAAAAACATTTGCATATTTCAATAACCAATCCAAAAACATTGGGTGGATGAATCCGACAAAGTAGCCATCGAGCAAAAACTTGTAGCACTTATCTCGGGATGATCCTTGAAGAATATATAATGCAAACAAACAATATGTAGGCAGAATGAAGTGAACAGAAACTTGGTGACCAGAATTATGCTTATTAATAAAATCAATCAAAGTATCCAATAAAACCTTTAAAAAGATATTTGATCATCTTATTTCAAACTGTAGGGAGGACAACTTTCTGGGGAAAATCTTGAGAAAATACTACCTTACTCCCTAAAATATTTTTTACAATACCATAATCAGATAATCCTTGAAATAATGACTTTTCCTTTATTCAAATGAGTTGCAATTATTACACGGGTGTGAAAGGAATGCCGAAGATTAGGTTTTTCAGATGATTCGTATAATAACTGAAATTAATGGAAGTAAATAGAACTTTTTTAACTAATGAGTACTGTTGTGTTCATATTAAACCTAAGGCTTTGTGCAACGTTAAATTCTCATAAATAAATTAATTAATAGCTAGCATAAATTACACTGAAGGTTAAGAAGTACAATATAAGGATTATCACAAATTAAATTCACCCAATGAATCACCTCTCTGATAACAATTTCGGAACAGCACAGTTAATTATTTTAAACAAGCGACTATTAATTAAAACACTGGAAGAACCACAAAATGGGGAATTATAAAACAATTCAGCTTTGAGTCGTAACAGAACAACAAAGATCAACATGTTTCCCCCAACATAAAGTTACACTAACTATCCACGTATATTCATTTATAAAGTTTTAGATAAGACATGAAAGCAGTGACATTCATCAAATAAAAGTAGTAATCAGAAACAGTTTCACATCACCAGAACTCTATAAAGCCATGGGGAACTTAATGATATAGAAATCAGACTATAAATCAAGAATCCAGTATGATATAACTAGTTGAAGTTAGAGAACGAAATTTAAGTGTATATCACAGCTAGGTACCATACCCCTATTGCTTTAAATTAGATCGATGAATTCCGGCTATAAATTTCGCATCTGAATTGAGACGTTTGTAATGATTCACACACAATTATTTGTACAATAGAGTAAAGGATATACTTAACGCAAATATCAGAAACACAAAAATCTGTTTCGTTAGGAGACGTAACTAGAAGTCCCCTCAGTTTGTTACCCGAACTACCAGGCATGGGAAAGAATAAACATAGACTGAACAACCTGAAAATCGTCACAAGACTGAATTAACAAAATTACTTCCAGAGAAAATCTGCCAAAGGGTAACGGTTCAACAAAAACGGCAGCAAGAGATGTCAAAAAACAGTATAATAGGACGGCAAATGAAGTGAAATAACAAGATATGAACCAATCATGAGATAAACAGAATATAAGCCATAGATATTAGATTTAGTCATGAAACTAAACTTTTAGTCTCTACTCAATAACTTTCTAAAACTGAAGAGTATTGAGTAAAGTACTTACGCGTGACAGCCACCACAATATATGAAGACCAGTCACTTTAGGTTACTTATCTACCTACCAACAAGACAAACTTTATCGTTAGCTATGTAATATACAAACTACCTGTTCTAAATATGTAGTACATGTGAAGCCTAGTCTGCCGGCAACATAAGATCTAAGGATGCTCTTTTGTTCCAATATAAATATGGTGTGTTTTGAAGAGCGGTATTAGAATAAGTTCACACAAATCCTATTACCTCTGCTTGACAAAAAAAACTTGGAAGCTTATCAGTGTAATGAACCGAGATCGTTTTCTATGTCTGATTTTTAACCAATCACTAGAGAATAAAGGTGAATAGGATTAGTTGAATAAGATTAAATTCTGGTAAGAACTACCGGATAACAGAAAAGTTAACAGTTGAGCTAATACACGCCAATAAACTCAAAACAAATAAATCCCTAGAGATTATAGTTCATTTCACTAGGGATTAAACTACCAAACAACCACACTTAGTTTAGCTGCAACATATTTAAACACGTCAACTTTGAGTTAAGAAATTCATTTAAGACTAAGAATAAATATCACTTGTTCTACATGGTTTCACAGCCATATAGCTCGCTAAGACCATGTAGAAAGGCTTTAAAAATCGTATGCCGGCTACAGTCATTTTTTGTTCCTTGCCAAAAACATTTTTCAATACTGGACGAAACAAAACTCAAAGCAAAACATAATAAATGTATAATTTGTTCACAACGGACCAGTTTATTCAACCAAATGACTAATAAACTATGTTTTGAGAGGATAGCTACCATAAAATAATCACAAGGATGTTTTGTGTAAATAGCAGCCACCATGGTTATATCGTCAAAGCAAACCATGTGGTACGCTACTCACGTATGTTTATGAGGCTCAAATAAGTGATAACTCATGTCTATTGTGCGTAGTAATTAGAAACAAAGTGACGAAAAACGTATTTAGTCTTACATCGAACTCACCAGGAAGTAAAAAATTATTGCACTTGTTCAGGACTAAGTTGCGTAAACTGAAGAAAGGCGTCACAGCCATTCACGTACAGAAGCTCTGAACGAACTACCCAAGGACCAAACACCCGTTAACTCTCTCTCTCTATCTATCTGTACTGATTTTTATGATGGAAGATAGAAATGCGGAACACAATGGGTAGAAAACACGACTAATCAAAAAATATTTCAACTGCGAGTCATTCTTTGATGGCTGAACCGAAAGCCTTGAACATTAGGTTATTTTAAGAAATGACCTTAGCTCTGTAGCTATACAGACAGAAAAAATTGAGAAGTTTCCAATACCCAATGTCTTTTTGACGAGCTAGTGTAAACCAGACGATATTTTCGCTTTCACCCGTTTTCGTTTCTTTAATGTTCCAGATCTTTGATGTTGCCAAACGGGGGTTGTCTAACCACATGACTGCATTGGATCTGGTCAGTTTGATTATTATTTGTGGGTTTGTGTATTTATAAACCTGAGTGAACGCGCTTGTCTCAAGGCACTGAGGTTTCTGGGACCAGCAGCAATCACATTTCCAGGAAGGAGGCTAGTCAGTTGCAGGATGAAAAATAATGAAAGGATTCTAATGCACAAGAGTAGGGAGAAGACAAAAGGTCAAAAGTAAATAAATAATTCTATCGGTTAGTTTTATAGTTTGAATGAACAGGAGCATGGGAATAACCGTTAAACACAGTTGATAAGTGAGATGGATCGAAATCGTCTTTAGGTACGGGCTAATAATAATAATAGTAAATAAGTTGTAGGACATGCGCTAGGTACAACCAATTCAGGCAGTGGATGATAATCCATTGGTGAGTACTTGGTTGCCAAACTTTCCTTGAACCTATCCACCGAAGGGTTTGTTACTGCTTTGGTTGGGTGTACTAAAAACATCGTTACTACGTGTTGATGCAGAAAGTGGACGTTATGTAAAACCAGATACATAGCCTATCAGTCATCGAAAAAGAAGCTTATTCAAGGGTTGTGAGTATCTTTTATGTTTTTTCTCACGTTTCTCGTCTTGACATGTATAACAATCGGAGCATATCAATTTGAAATCATTATTAAGATAGTGGCTAGGTCCTAGGTTTTCTCATGATGATAAGAAGAAATTTAGATTAGTTGATCCGCAGCGATATGAATGTTCAGAGATTCCAGGGGTCCATTTGGTTTCTGTTTTTTAAGTTTCAGTGACAGTGGACGAGCATTCATCTTTATTCAAATGATCTTTCGTGCTGAATGTGCCGACCATGGAAGATTATATACTGGATGTTGAATGGTTGGTTTGAAGTGGATGGGTTCGAGGAAGGTTAGTGTGGGATAATTATTGACTCAACAATGTGGGATTTGCACATCCACAAGCCCCTTTCGTCTTCATAACAAATATTTCGTTACGTTGATAAGGTTACAATTGTTATTCAAACGTCCTTCAGCAGAAGCAAAGCCTAATCGACATGACAGTTAGGAACACGATGTATACTGCTGCGGCTCCGGTGTAAGATCGTTCAGAATAGACAGTCAAACAATGGTCATTAAACTGTTTTAGACTGTCATCACTAATCTAGTAATGTTATTAAGTTCAATAATAACTATCATAGTTTTCTACTCAGCAAAGCCTTCTCGGATTGTTACTGGTTTTGTCATAGGGGTGTTATATAATTAAATCCGAGGTTTATTAGACCTTTGGAGTGCCACTATTCAAAATTTTTAGTTACTACCATAGCCTCTTGCACTTTGGATTTGTTCTTGCTAATTAGTTGTATCTGTCAATCATGTTTACTTAAGTGAATTAGAAAAACCCACGAAAACAGTATGTGTTTTCGTGGTCCCTATCTTTTGATAAAGCTTAGACCGTCTGTCTCTTACTCAAATACATGATTTTATGTAAAGAGCGAATCATCGTTCCCGTCACTTATTACAGTAGTTTTCCGGTAGCAAGTAATGCAAACAGTATCAATAAGTCTTGACATTTGAGTACCTAAGCACTTTGTCAATTACCAGAGTTTTAAGATCCCTAACAACTGCTTCTTAGTACTACATCGTAGATCTTCATTCTTAGACTGTTTACTGAAACGAAGGTAGGGAGTGAGTACAGAGTAGGTTATCAGTAGTTAAACACAAAAACTTTCAACACTCAATAGGACAAAACAGGAAACATAACGCCAGCATAAAATAATTGATTAAACGACTATGCTTTCTGATCACAAAGTCTTCATCCTGATGGTACATTGTAGTTTACTTCTAAGCAGCCTGCCTACTGCTTCTTCTCGTCCTTCTTGAGAGTATTCCTATTCAACTGAGTTCGATTTTTTTCAGAGTATTCAACCATGGTTTATTGACATGCGCAACTACTATCCCTGGCTCCATTCGTGCTTTTGAGTTTGAGGATTTGTTTTAGGTTCCGATAGTGATCTTGAAGATTTGTAATGAAATCAACCTCTCGGCTATTGAATAAAAGGGATATGGGGCTCACGAATGCACTAGAAATTCTCTCGATTTTTGCTTTATTTTGGGCTTTAGTCCCGTCAAATTTTATTCTTGTTACCCAGGCTAAAGATAGATTAGATTTAACACTGCTCAGATCAAAAGGATTCGAAAACCTGACCTGCAACACTGAGTGGAAAAAGCTGCAGCGTCAGTTAAATGATTATAAGCCCTGACCAGATTATCCGTCTAATCAAGTGTTATCCAAACTTAAAACACTGAATGCATAATGCTCAGTAGTTAATTAAAGTTAGAAGTCGGGGCTGGTCAGTTTGAAGTGACCACCAAGAGAAATACTTGTGGTACATATGGCAGACCACTTGCCCCTTGTAAATGACTTCTCTGTAGAGTGTCATCTCGAATAGATTTTTCAAAATTTATCGGCTCTCTAGGAGTAATGGGGAGTCAAGTCAGTCTGGTCACCAAGTTAGAGCGGAGCAAACCAGGGAGTCATTGCTTATAAGCCTCCGATTATTGTACCTTTGAGACGTAACTTGCAGAATTATGGTCTACTACGATATTAGTACTGCACTGATAATAGACCTAGTCCTAAAATTGTAGACTTGTCATGATATAACTGCCTAATCTATAAGATCTTACGTGTAAGTCATACCACCGTCTTCACCAACTCATTTTATCGTAACAATCACCACTACGTGATGTAGAACAAGCTTAAGCTAGAGATAAAACAATATATTTGATATGAATGAAAGATATAAGATAAAATTCAACAGGGACCACGCCCGCAAGGCCGAGCAATGCCATTCGATCAACTTCAATTAATTCGACTCCTTGTTCCTGCCTTCTCCGTCGTTAGATATTTCTCCGCGTTAAATATTGAATATCTATTTTCCGAGTTGTCTCGTGTTCAGCTTTGAGGATTGTGTGGTTATGGTCTAATGCCACTACAAACTAATAAAAGAAACGTATATATTTGTCCCTTTTTCTGCAAGTGAATACGACCCGACCGTACTTGGTTTAAAAGCCCTTAGACTAGTATAACCACCAGTGAGACGTCGAATACAAGCTTTTACCAGCAAATTAATTTAAGACACTAGTTTTGCGTTGGGCACGGTTCTAATCATATTAATCACGACTGCAAATTGCGGGAAATATTTAAACAAATTAAACAAAAAGCGATTCAAAGAAGGTTTAGTGGTGTAATATAAAGCACGTCAAGTAAATAAATCTTCAAATGACCAAGAAATATTTGCTTGTTAGAGAGCAAGTAATGGCCCTGTTAACCAGGAGTACTTCATAGTAGATATTTCAGTCAGCTGACCCAGAAAATAGGTAATCGATATTTTTAACTGCAATTCACATCTCTGTCAGCACAAAAAAGAGACTTGCGACCCTTGGGACTATTCGAATCAACCTGTTAAACGTTAGTTATTATGAACTACGGTCACTCAGTAATACAGTCTATGTAATCCAGCGATAGAATAAAACAGGATCACATCAGGGGATAAAAAAACGCAATTACGAGAAGGAGACAAAGGACAAAAGTTGCAGACAGAATGAATGTCTCTGATCCTATTTAGGTCAAAATATATTTTGAGAACAAAGACATCACAAAACTTGATAGTTTCGAGTAGATTGGGCATTGGGTAGTGAGTTAATGATAAATGTATTTTTGTTGTATCCGAATAAGTGGAAAAATTGTATTTCTGATGTTTCGTGACTTAATCTGAGCCACTTCTTCAGACTTAAGAGGTAACTGAAATTAGGTTGACACAAGATCAAATAGTTCAGAGGAAACAATGTCGAGTAATTTCGGTCAAGTTGAATTTGTGTGGCCTGTTACTGCATTAATTTGTGTGTCAGATTGTAGGCGTGAAAAATGTGCGCATTTGTGATATGAAGTAGTGGGTTGAGATTATGTGTCCGTGTGTGTGTGCGTAAAAACGATAAAAAGTAAACTCAAATGTGGTTGTCTGGAAAAACAGACCAGGTTTAATTAATATTCAGGCCCTCCTTCTCATTAAGGGCAGAGGGATTTAGCATTATGTGGGACGCTTCGGCTACCCGCCCCCGTTTATAGTTAGAAAAGGCTTTTTTGAATTATTTCAACTATTGAAATTACTTTGATATTTTAAATATCAATTTGGTGAATACTGAAAATTGCGTGTTTTGGTGTGAGTGATTTATTCAGTAAATTTTCCAGTTCTACGGGATTATTAGGACTTTTTGTGTAACTCAAGTGTTCCTTGGCACGAGTTGAAATCTCAAGGGAATTCTCCATCACAACCGACACGACCTAATCCTTAGACATATTTTTGTGTGGAAGTGAACGGGATCGTATATTTTGTTCAAATTAAAACGTTTCTTAAGATGATAGTTGTCTTATAGAAAGCTTTAATTTTGTAAATTTTCAATATCCGTCGTAATACTTCGTTTTACCTCGACGGCAAAGTAAGCAACAAAAGTAACCGAACAAATATCATTAGGATTGCTATTTTGTGAAGAGAATAACGACAACTTTATTTTTCAGTTAGTTTTTGATACTATTTACGTTTCTTTTTTAATTCCCATAATTTGTAAGTTTGCTACGAATGGCTGTCAAAGTTATTAAAAAACGGGCGTGACATTGACTACTTCAGAGGAAGACACACTGATAAGAGCCCGCAAATACACTGCTACAAACACACGTCTCTTGTTCTCAGTTGCCTGTTGTTACGATAACTCAGCCATAAAATATTTATCTACATTAGTAGGCCACAGCCATGTTTCCATTATATATCTCATATAGACATACCGCTGGAAATATAACAAACTTCATTAAGATTACTGATCACCCATAAATGTGAAT